AGAAATCTACTGGCGTCTAAATATAGTAGAAAATTGATATGAGGGAATTCACACCATATAGTTAAACAAAAAGAAAAAAAACTTTTCAAGACCTATTTTTTTAGCAGATTTTCATAAAGACTACTTTGGAAGATTGTAAACTATGAAGAAACAACAGATTTTTTTTGTGCCAGATTTGTGCTTTTCCACTTCAATCAAATCTTAGAAGCAACAGTTTCTCACATTATACAATCATATATTCTTAGAGATTCAAGGATATGTGAAAAATAACAAGAAAATTCCCTTTATGGATGGATGGATGGATGGATGGATGGATGGATGGATGGATGGATGGATGGATGGATGGATGGATGGATGGATGGATGGATGGATGGATGGATGGATGGATGGATGGACATTTCTCCACTGTGAGATCAGTAAAGTCATTTAATCAAGTCAATCAATCAATAAATGCAACTTTTAACCAGCCATATAGGAAATTAGGAACCCAAATATTTTTTCCAGACACTTGTTTCATCCCATATCTATAAACAGGGTCGAATCACTTCTATTTGCAGATAGAACCACTACTTCGTTTTTATGGAAGATCTACAAAACCTGATGTTGAAGCCTGATGTGTGCAGAGACTGTGTTGAATTTACATCATGAGCAAGAAGAAACACAAGCAGCTTCTTTCTGCAGACCTTTCTTTCCTCCTCCGGTCAGTTTGTTAAAGAAATTTAGTAAATTATTACATTCCAAAAACATATTTCTGTCACTAAAAGGCTGACTGCTTTTCAGCAATAGCTTAGTAGACCATCATGTAATACTATTAACCTCCACACACACACACAGCACACTCAGCCCACACGTCCCCCTGGTGAGAAACAGATGAGAGCGAAAGGAACAAATCCAAGTGGAAATACGCAGGAACAACTCTTAGCGCCTGTTCTCTGCTCCTGGCTCTGCTGCTCGTCCGTAGGAGGAAGAGGAGGATTTAATGCATGTTGTGGTTTCATTCCTCACACACCTTGTTTTGACATTTTACGGACAGCTGCTTTCGGAAAACAAAACCTAGCATGTGAAGGTGGGAGGTGGCAGATGAGAAAGAGAATGGGAAAAAAATGCTGCACGCATTCAAACCGACGCCTCTTCAAACAGAGCATCAGAAAAAAGGCCGGACTCCTTCCTGCTCCCTGCCACCTTCCTCTACCTGCTGTCCCCAGCCGATCCCCGGGAAAACTTGGCGGCAGATGTTGCTGCGCTAAGCTGGCTCTGAAGTGCCTCCCCGGCTCCCTGCTCTCACCCACAACACAGTCAAACCACATTAGATCTCTTTATTTGTGCCTGGGGCAAGTTCGACACTGCAGCTGTGTCCACCCCCGCTCTACCTTTGGTGTCGGAGGCCCTCGGGCTCTAAATGTGAGACCATGGAGAAAAAAAATATATATAAATGAAAAAAGGGTTTCACTCTCTTTTCTTCTGTCTCTCCTCTGCATCTGTTGACAATCCAGTAGTCTGACTCTGGACCGCGGTGTGAGGAGAGGGGGGATAGGATACAAGGCTAGGATAGGAGGGAGGGTGATAGATACTGAGCGATGGGTGAGGAGGGGGGGGCACACCCGGGTCCCCGTGCTGAACAGATGTCTGTGACAACCTGCTTCCTTACACCTGTATGAGTCCTTGTAACCCAGCGGATGGAAGCTGCTGAAAAATTCATGACCCTGGAGGTTTCCTGTCCACCATCAAAGGCTCCCTTCCTCCCTCCATCCCTCACTCTCTCTGGCATTGCTGTGCTCTCTGCCATCGACACCAAACCTGCAACAGGACAGCGCCGCCTTCTTCAGCTTTGTTCTGCCTCTCTCTGCTCAGACCACAACCAAAGGGGCAATGAGAGGCCCAGAGGAGAGGAGACCACCAACAGCACCACTACCATTCAAACTTAAGGGTTAAGCATGCAGTCCTTCTCCATGTTCAGTCAATAGGCTCTATGGACAACTCAACTACTTCCTGAACTTAAAGCAGCTCTTTTTCCCCCCCCCTTTCTCTTTGTAACAGATGAACTGATGAATCCAGGTTTGCCTGACCTCAGTGTCCAACTGGCAGGGGAAGCCTACTGACATTAAAAAGTCAGTAGTCTTCCTGCCTGTTCAGACTCGTAACATTGGGGATTTTAAAATAACTTTTTTCATTCATCTGATATTTTAGATCTGAAAACATGAAAATAAATAAAGTCAAAGTAAACTGATTTATATATTCTTTGCACTATTGATCATATTTTTACTTTTTCATATATATTTATATTTTGTGTGAAAACTGATTTATTTAAATGATTTTCCCCTGTTTTCTAAAGTGAACTCCTAATTTTGTCTGTTTGGTTCTATCACTGGTTTCGGGTTGCCATAATGCCATTATCTTAAAGGAGAATCTGTGAATAAACTAAAATAAATAAAACTGGATGAATGAATAATTGCAGTCCTGCTTTTTAAAAAGCCAGCAGAATGTGGCCTCCAGAGTCTCTTGTCTACTGTCTTGATGACTAAAGTAAAAGTTGAAATTGTCTCAGAGATCAGAATAAAAATGGGAGTTAGCTGCTAGCTTTGCCTCTGTTAGCTGAGTGATCAGATCACTGGTTTTCCTGAACTGGAGGAAAATCTACATGTGGGATGATCATATATATCCATCACACCTAAAGCAAAGGAATGTCTCCTTAAGCAAAACTTTTCTTTAAATAACAACAAAAGAAAAAAATAGAAACAGGAAGCACTCTATATTATTATATAAAAGCAGCTCTAGAGACGTGAAAAGCAGAAAAGCCTCACCATCTGATTTAAATTCTTGCTGTTTTATGCAGAAAGGTGCTTAAATTGTCTGTTTTTGGTATAGGTGATAAAAGAATGACAGAATGAAATGCAATCATTTGACGTTGTCTCTATGCATCTTTTGCAAACCTAAGCTGTTTTTTCTGAGAGGAAAAAGGCTTTTTTAACCATGCTCCATAGTTTTCTAACTGCTGTATCCTAAACTTAAACATGTTCCCATTATAAAACATTTCCATCCTTCAATTTAACAGTTTACAAAATCCTATGGTTTGATCATTTATGATCCGATTTAGGAAAAGCACGGTGGCATGCTGAGTAACGCCTGCTACGCTGTCAGCTGCTAGATTCCCTCAAAGTTTCCTCTGTCTTTGCAGAGCTCAACCTTTTCCCACAGAAAAAACGAATGGTCTTACATCATTCTCTGAACAAAACCCATATGGTTCCAGTTCTCAGATCCCTGACCTAAACAGAACCACCCACCACAGAGAGGCAGTTCTGATTGTATCTTCTAGTTTGCGTGTCTGAAAGAGTCTGAGTTAGATAATGAGAGAAATGCTGGAAAAACTGCAAGGTTACGATTTTCTTTGGTTTGTTTTTAAACTGGCAGTATTTATTTCTGAATCATCAGATTTCCCTTTCCATAGCATCTATTCCTGGTTTTATGTGAGCAAATTTACATCCACAGCAGACTGTTTAGCTTGTTAGAGTGTGTACCATATTAGAGTTTCTAAAACATATTAAAACATCCGGTTAACTCTAACTTGATGGCAGTTCTTGTAACCACCTGAGGGGCGTTGGCTTTCTGTGTTTCAGTTTATTTCCTCCTCTGTTGCTCGAGTGAAGCCAAGAGTTTGACCATATTAGGCCATCCCTGTCCTGCTTCCTTCTGTTAGGCTTTGCAGCTGTATCCGCCGCTCACTTCATCACACTGAGCTATAAACAACACAATGCACAAGATGACACAGAAGCTTCCTCTGCTTGGAGGCAGCTGTGTGAATCCATTCACAGCAATACAATAAAGCAATGACTCCTCATGTCTGCAACTGTAAACCAATTCACATAGAGGGACAGATATATCTGTTCAAACCACACAGAGAACAGAATATTCTGCCTTTAAATAGATAAAACCCTTAATAAATACTTAAATGGAAAGCAAATAAAATATATATATATCAATTGCTACATAAGGCTGTTCTTTATAAGGCAACAATGAGATTCTTACAAAAAGCAAAAGAATTTTACAGTATGTCTCCGTGTATAAAGGTTATTATGTCCATGAAACTTTGTCAGAAATGAACCTGCTGAATCAGAGCAGGCTGAGTGTAAGAGAAACTTCAGTTAGAAAACATTGGCTGCAACTTTATAAAATATACAAGCTGCACGTTCAGTTTTTCTAGGTTTTTCAGCAAGACATCTCCATTTAAGGGCTGATTAGAAATATTAGGAAACAGATAATTAATGCATAAGGGTATAAAACCTATAGCCACCCTACATGTGATTTGAGAATGCATACCTGACATCTGCACCGGCCTTTCACAGAAAAAGCAAAACAAAACTACTGAGCAAGCCTTTAAGCAGATGAAGCTGTTTGCTCAGAACCGGAGACTGGGTATTGAAACCGTTAGCCTCCCATCTATATTCTAATATGATACCTGTGTAACAAACTTGATAATGAATGTGTGCATAGTTTGCTGTCCACTGTGGACAAGATCCCCCACATCTTTGGATCCAGCTGAAATTACTAACAGTGCTTGAATCTAACATGTATCTGTACAGACAACAAAGAGGTTACTGGTACCATCACCCAGTTAATCAGCTGGTTACTATGGAGACCAAATATGAACCAGAGTAGAGCCATTGCTTAGCAAGAAATCCCACTGATGTGTTGGAAAAACCTTCAGCTTTTTAAGCATCAAGAGGTATGGCGTGTGATATTTCAAATATCTTTAAGATATCCTCTCAATAAAAAAAAAAAAAAAATTAAAACATTATTTTTGCAAAAAATATATAAAACGGCCAAGCCGTGGCACACGTACTCTATAAAATCTCTAAAACGGTTAATTTATTCAGGAGGAACAGATTTACTTTGCTGTTTGCCACCACAATATCTGCTGTATGATCAAATCTATCAGTTATTGTTACAAAAAATTTCCAGGTTTTAATCAGGACGTTTTTTTTTTTTTCTCTCCACAGTCTTACCTGGTCTGAAGATGTTGGGCGCATTAGGGAGACTCGGTCATACTGCCGACGCAACAAAGCCCACAAAGCATCGAGGCGACCCTGATGGTGCACAAACAGAAGGTTTAGGAGAAAATATGAGAACAGGAATTTAACTGAAAATATATACGGGAATCTTTCATTTAATACTATAGGTTGGAAGTAAACTCAGTTTGAAGTCAATTTTAGGCTTAAATCTGCATCCTCTTTGTTGGCTAATGTTAGCCTTCTTGTTTGAACATATCAGTAACAGTTCTATTAGAGAAACTGGGCCGATAATATCAACCAACATTTTTTTTCTTTCTTATAACAGTTTTTGTGTTTTGGGAAGGGTAGTCTTCCCAGTACCAGTGATGCCATCCATAATTGTTAGTTATCTGGAGACAAGAGGCCTCTTAACCTGTGTGGTAGTCATTTTTACAGTGGGTATGGAAAAAATAACAGTAATATTAATATAACATATCTGCCCATATTTCCATATAAGCATCCCTAGGCAAAACAACAGCACATAAGGCAGGAAACAAATGAGCTCCAGGTTTTTAAAGCGACATAAGATTGTCGCGACTAAAGCATCAAAGCAAATTTCCCTAACATATAGCTGAATGAATGAAGCGCATATAAGGAATTGTTTTTCAAATTCAATTTGTTTGTGATGCATTTACAGACCAAAACAGGCGGGAGTTCTAAGCTCTGTTGCATTTAAGGAAGAGAAAATCCTTTCTCCCTTGACCTGCTGATTGCTGATCAGAGCCCATTTCAGAAAAAACTAGTTGAATTTTGGCCAAATAATTGTTACTTTTAGGAAACATTTAAGGCAAAAGGACAAGAGTGAACACTTCTAACAGCCCTCTGGAAATTCAAACACGAATGAGTTTTAAGTATTAGATAAATGGTAATGCAGCTATTAGCTCTGTGAAGTCAATACAAAACAAAACGATAAAAGGATAACAACAGTTAAAAGAAGAATTTATTGATTTTTCCAGTTTTTTTAATGTATCTAGCTTTTCCTATTGAAGTTCTTTTTCATAAGAATGAGCATAATGTGATAAGAGGGAAACACATACCTTGATAGGAGTGTACCATTTGTTCTCAGACTGTCGGTTGCTGGAAGTTGGTTTAGGAGTTGGCCGTTTAATCATCGGCTCATCCACATTTTCTGGTATGGACACTTTTGCATTTTTCGCCTTCTCCAGTCTGGCCCCCTCTTCAGTCGAGCCCTTTTCTCCCCACCGTACCTAAATAGGAATGATGAAAATATAAAGGAGAGCTAAAACGGATACATATCAGATCAGGTAATGTCTGGGAAAGTTAAATCCTTTCTGACCCTCTAAGGATTTGAGGGTTTGTCCCCTCTCTCCTTTTCTCATTTCATTAAGTTCTCTTTTATATTTTGCTGTTTTGGAGTTAAGCTCCTCAGTCACTTTCTGTTCATCTGTTGCAGCTCAGGATGTTTACCTATTTGTTTTCACAGCGAGTTGTCAGTTTGGGCAGAACCAACACCTGATTATTAATGAAAGTCTAACCTGAATGAGGATTCCAGAGTGTAAAATGGCTCTTCCCGTCAGCTTTAAGTTTAGTACACTACCTCTGTTCGTTGAAAGAAGCTCTTTCATGACTTTCTGCATGGCTACCAGCCTATTTCACTGTTCTGGAGGAACTTTAGTAAACTCTTCAGTTTATTGATATCTGTGTTTGTTTAAACCCAACCATCCTAGGCTCCAACCACAGCTGTGCAGATAAGGCTTCAGGCAGGCAGATGGCCTCACATTGACCAATGGTCTTAACTTTGCCTCATCTATCCAAACCGGGATGCTCCAGAAGTCTTTTAGTTATTTCAGATGCAACATCATTAAGCTCAGTCATGCTGTGCAAACTGAGAAATATAAGATTGCAATGGACTAGAGTCATTTACAAATTCCTCAAGCATTGTAGGGTTGAAATAATTTGGAGTTGTGAATGTTCTTACTATATAGATTAAATTGATGATGAGATGGCCTACAACCCTTACCATATAGATGGGAAGCATGCAGTTTTAGTGGTTGTAGCTTATCTAAGGTCTTGCTGATATCCCTGCAACTCATCATTGTCCTAATTCATACCCACAACTTCTAGAATTTTTACAAAATAAACTTACCGAAAGATGACAACTTAATAAATGCACTTTATGAGCTCTACTTTGTCGCAACTTTCCCTCATTAGTCCCAAGAAAGCATTAAGACCATTAAGAACTCTGGTCCAAAAAACTTCTTCCTCTGATTTGCTGTCAGACGTGTGTGTGTGTGTGTGTGTGTGTGTGTGTGTGTGTGTGTGTGTGTGTGTGTGTGTGTGTGTGTGTGTGTGTGTGTGTGTGTGTGTGTGTGGGTGGGTGTGTGTGTGGGTGTGCATACTGTGTGAGTCTGTGGATGGGAGTCTGTTTGTTAGTCAAGCTGTCCTGCTTTTTAATTGAAATCATCACATCTGCTCCAAGGAAGACAAAAAAAAACAAAACACAGCCACATGAACAGGGAGAGGTGATTAATTAGTGACACATTTTCTAAGCTGTAGGTTAAGCCATGACAATATAGAACAGCTTCTCCGAATCATCTGCAGGGTGCATCCCAGCCCTGGTGCATCTTCAAGAAAACAAAGAGCCCTGTCATGAATAAAAGATGCATTCACATGTCGGGTCTCAGCGATCATTTAAAATATAGGCAGATGCAGAGTGGAGGTGGAGGTTCTCTCAGCATGGTGTCTTTAATGTGGATGCAAATATTAACAGAATCTTGTTTTTCCAGCCTCCAGAGGACATGATTGTGGATAGGAGGCTGTCTGCGTGAATTAGGCTGCTAAACATGCAAAGCAGAGGATGATACCCAACCCTGTAGCTCAGTGACACTCACAAAACCACAGTCAGGAGATAACTGATCCCAGAGGATTATGGCAAACCTGGAGAATGCCACAATGATCCAATGGGCTGAGAAACAGTAGAGGATGAACTTTCAAGGCAGAAGACCTGGATTTTACCAGAAGGATTAAGAAATTAACACATCTACCCTTCAGCTCAGGAAGGGGGAAGCATGGAGTCAGCGAGGTGGACGTGTCAAGTTGACAGCAGCACTCAATCTTCCAACTGAGCAGCGACTTGATCCAATCAGGACGAGATAGCAGGGCCTGTCATGTCAGAAGCATCGGCAGAATGACGAGGACAGCAGCGGGGAAGGCCAGCCCGCTGCTTTCCTCTAACTCAACCAACTTCCAACAACACGGAAAAGAGTCAACGTCAGCAGGTTTCCGGGGGAATCAGGACTAGACCCGTCAGATAAGAGCCATGACCTCATCCGGATGATCTTTGAACAATCTTATTTCCTTATTCATAAAACATGTTTAAGCCTCTCTGCTGTAAAACAGAAAAAAATAAACGAACAAAAAGCAGTTTTAGGATGACGTTTCGGGTCTGACCTCCATGCGTTTGATTCCTCCAGCTCCTCTTCCTCCATAGTACGAGGCGTCCACCGTCGGCCACTTCTTCTTTGGCAGGGGCTCAGGTTCCTGGGAGAAGAATGTGGGAAACATGTTTCTCTAAATGACATTATTAATAAGAACAGCTGCAGCTGTATGACAATAAGAAGGAAGTAGAAGATATTCATCATTATTGTTTCAGTTCACCAGGAAGGAAGACACACTTAAGATGTTTTTTTCCCACCATGCATTCAGTCAGCATGGTTCAGGTAACTGCAAAAGCCTCATATTAAAAATTGGTCTAAAAAATATTCCTAATTTTGCCTCTGAAATGTTTGCACTTCAGCTAACAATTAGCAAAGGCATCACAATAAATTAATCTTTTATCGCAGTAATATATTGTAAAACTGCCGAGTTTGGAAAAATCCACCTTTAAACTAGTGTACAGATGGGAACCCCATTAGATATTAGGACTTTATTTTCATGTTTGTTTTTAGCTGTTACCACTTAATAACCTCTACCTTTTATCTCTTGAGTTGATAAAAGATGATCAACAAATCACCTGCAGAGAGACCCAATGTTGACCCATTTTTTTTTTTTTTTTTTTGACAGAACCTACCAGATTTTTGAATTTTAAAATACCAGATGTTTCAAAATGTCATTATGTAATTTAATAGCAACATTCTTTGGGTCTGTGAAAAAGACGGTCCCATATCATTATCTATCCTCTACCATACCATACTGTACAAGGCAATCAAATTATATTTTTAACATATTTTCTCTTCCTGGTCACACATTGTTTTTATTGGTGTAAATATTGCTTTGATTGTGAGTAATGGAGAGTAAAGGCAAGTAGCCAGTTTATCAATGCCTTTTCCTTATTTAGAATTTTAAAAATGCCCTATTAAAATGAACATTAACCACCAAATGCATTTAGTGAACCTTTTATTAAATTTTTTGTTATCTTTAATTTTTATCAGTTTATTCCAATGTATTAAACATATATTTTATATATACATTTATTTTCACTGCTGTTGCTCAAAAGAAATGATCTTAAAAATTAGAAATGAATAAAATTTGTTTTCTTTTCTAAGTCCTGCTAAATAAAATTTTATTCTCACTCAAGATGAAATGACAGATTTGTTTTTTACCATTCCTTTCAATCTGCTCATCCTCACAAAATAATAAAGATAATTTAACAAAGTGGCCTGTTTTCTAATAAAAAATAATTGATATATGCAGCTCAGAGGAACCTAATCTGCATTGCTGACATTGTGTTGTTGTCTGATTGCAACAACACAGCAGTGACATACTCACAGGTGGAGGGGGGCGAGAAGGTGGAGGAGGCGGCGGTGGGTCTTTGATGACCTGAATAAACAGAAAAACAAAAAAAAACAAAAGCTGGTCAGCAGGAGGACATGCGCTCAAACCTTATCAAGACAGACGAGGCTGACAGGGTCGGTTCGTGACAGGTGACACAGCCTAACAGAGACATCCCTGAGCTCAACTCACGATGGCGACACCATCGCTGCCAGCCTCACAAGCAACGACTGCTGCCCTATCGCCCAGCTGACTACTGATTACAAGGATCCTGCTTGTAAACCAACATCAGGGGCCCCCTGTGCAAAATAAAGAAAAGCTGAAAATCAACTTGTTGACAGGATAGTCTTTGGGGTGAGCTCTGTAGCCTGTTTAACTCCTAATTAATTGGATGGGGTTCAGCGCTCCGAAGCGATCCCCCCAATCATAAAGTCCTAAGGAGTTAATTAGCTCCAATGAGATGCGAAGAAGGAGGCGCGGGCGCAGATCCAAGTGCTGTCTGCAGGGAATGAGTGGCGGCAAAAAGAAAAAAAAATTACTAAAACACATCCACACACAGATTTCCATGACACAGCTTACTGACAGCAGAGTGACCGGCCTGGAGGCGGTCTCCGTGACAACGTGGACTGACAAGGCACCTGAGGAGCAGGTTGTCCACAATGTGATTCCACTCAGGGACAAGATGCCTGGACTGGGTTTTTTAGACATGCATGGCAAAGCAAAGAGGAGCCTGACGGTGACATTTGTCAGGTGTCACTCAGACGTTTCACATACTGATGTCCATCGGTTGCTGAAAACAAAGCCAGCACTCACTTAAAGGTAACACGGCAGTAAAAAAGACACAGGATGGGACCTCCTGTTTTTTTTTTTTTTTTTTTACATAACAGACAAAACCCACAACTCTGATTAAACTGTTAACGAGTTGTCTTTTTAAACTGTAAAATTTAAACAAGGATTTCAAATCAGCCATGGATTAGAGGGTGTGGTCCAAAGGTTTTTAGGTCAAGATTCGAACCCAACCTGTAAACCTTTGCTACTTTTCATTTGCTCCTTTTTCCTCCACCCATTTCTTGTTTATCAACTGTCAAAAAAAGGCCACATAAGCCAGAAAAGAAAAACCTAAAGCCTACCTTTCAATAAACGCTAGGAAGGAAACTGACACAGCCTTAAAAAACATTTGATGCACAGATCTGATACCTGGATCGGAAATCTGAGATCCAGTCCTGTGCACATTACATAGAACTGTAATTTCTTTCTTTTTGCGGCTTATTTATTAATATGTTATATTAATTACGTTTATATATGTGTTAATTTGTTACCTTTTTTGAAGAACGTTTATCTCAGGACTAAAGCCTTCGCTCACATAGCAAGATATAAAGTTAATTCATTCAACAGTTGAATCGGATTGGTATAGGATATCAGCCAGGACGCTCAGCCCAGGAATCGCTATAGGATTGGAGCGGCAGGAGCTGTGTGTAATTAAATCTGGACATAACATCAGCTGTCCTATTGCTTGGTTTAGAGGTTTGTTAGAGAACATAAGTACAAAAAAAACAGCATCACAAAGACCAAGGAACACAGCAAAGAATTTAGGAAGAAAATAATCAATGGTTGTGACTTTTTTCCACAGGGCACTGTTGTCATTCATTCATCCCATCAAAGCTGTGGATCACCGTTTCAATGGGAGAATCTGCTGATTGAACTATCGGGACTGAAAACTGAAAAACTTGACTTTATAATAAAGCAGTAAGAAAACCCATGTAAAACTTTCTTTCAATTATGCCAAAAGCCACAAACGGGGAGAAGAAGGTGTTATGGTCTGAAGCAACAAAGATTTTAAACTTCTTTTGTTTTCCATCAGGATGCCAAACATTGTAACATTGCACATAGTCTTGAACACAGCATTTAAACTGTAAAACATAGAGATGGCAGTGTCATGATGCACGGACAGTTAATGTCCTCAGAGTTCATTGGAGGGGAAGGCAAATACAAACATTCCACACCTTTCAGATCTGCATTTGATAAGGAGGACCATATCAGAAAATAAGCTCCAACCTCATTTATTCACAACTCTAATCAGTGTTTTAGGTGGAAGTTATAAAATATGGACTGCTTTTAGAGCTAATAAAACTTAATCTAAAGCCGAAGCATAATGTGTTTGAAGTGGTATCATTAGAAGGAAGTATTTACAAAAGGCTCATTAGCAAGTAAGCAAAGGTCATTTATATCCAGTTTTCCACCCAGACACCGCTGTAAAGAAATCTCCATGCATTGCTCCATTTTTACACAGTTATGGACTTTAGCACCAAACACAATAATTACTGAGCGCACATCTCAGCTTAAGGTGAGAGAGCACCGTCTGGCTCATTAGTCATCAGAGACAGATAGTAAAGTCAGAGATGGTTTTGCATTTGCTAAAGTGGTTTTGGAGGGAAAAGGGAGCAATGTAATTATGGCCTATCATAGATCTGAACAGCTGTTACGTTCCTGGCTAAGCTCGGAGATATCGTCGGTATCCCCTGCACCGTCGGTGCCGCAGTGTTGTCATTAGAATAATGAAAAACTATCAATTAGGGTTAATTAATTTCTCTTTGACACACAACTGGCTGCACACAAATCCTGCAGAGGTCTACAGATGACCTCTCCATACGCTGATTAACAGCATTCCAGCCACACCTTACGGTGACGGGATTATCTCTTTTTATTAAGTAATTATGCAGCAGATTTCCTGCACATGTTGTGGGCTAAATAAAGCATTACACAAACGGCGGAGCTCTGCTGCTCTTTTCCCAGCAACCTGACGGACAGATGTGAGCTCTCTGCAGCACGGTGGCGTAATTAAAAACTAAACCGTGGGATGCTTAGCCATCTGACACCAGCCCCAGCGGCTCGCCACCACAGCATCCGCACCGCGGGGAATCAGACCGATCAGAAGCACTCAGGGTACTGTCCACATATGGCTGTCTCTGGGAACTTCCAACTGGGCTCAAAAATCTGCTTGCTCCCAAACCTAAGCTCAAACGATGTTGTGTGAAGCTGCTTCAGGAGGGTTATTTTGATGAATCGGTGGCAGGCACCATATTGAAAAATTATTTAGACTAAATCAAAGAAACATAGGTTTTCATTACTGTGCTGACATAACATACAGCTTATTAAATAAAAGACCACAGAGTATTTAGAAATGATCAACATATAAGGCTCCAAATGAGTTGAAAAGGTTTCCAAATTTGGAGCAATTCTTTGGTAATTTAGATAAATTCTCTTGCATTTCAAAATTCCATCTCCAATCCTTTGATTTAAACAAAGGCCATGCCGTGCAGGGCTTAATTTCCAAACAAATGATAAACAAAGAAATTACCACTCCACAGCTTGTCTGACCTCTCGTCTGGCATCAGGCCATGCAGATAGAGGCACAGGAAGAGTGGGATTGTGGGAGAGAAGTTTGTGTGTGCGCGCGTGGCCTCATCGCCTCATCCCGACTGCTGAAGCCTGGCAGACTGGGGGTTTAAATATTAACAAGCCACACATGGCCCTCCTCTTCTGCCGCGTCCCTCGATGGAAGGCAACAGCAGCTCTCTCCACCAAGACAAACACGTCCACGGCCAGACATGCTGCAGGGGGTTTACATTTTAATGCCTTTGTTGGTTTTCCAAAATATGCTTCCATCTCATCCTGGATGGGATCCCTTCAGGTCCACAAAGCCAGGTGACGTCTATCATTTCAGGGGTGAGTGAGGTGAGTGATGGGGCAGGCTGTGTGGGGCTAAAATTGCCTTCATCAGGTCTCAGCAGAAAAAGCCTCGGAGAGAGAGATGGTGCACACCATCTGTAGCCTCTCTCTCATAGCCCCAAACGATAATCTGTTGTGGATTTATATAATTGGTTAAGTGGGTAAGAATTGTTTTATAAAGGGGCGCAGGCAGGGAGAGGGATTTTAAAACAGTAGTTTTAATGAATGCTTAGGACTAAACAAACAATATGTCCCCATGGGACCTAGCATCTGGCATAGTGTAGTTTTCTTTTACAGCCTTTTTAACCCCCATTCAAGGGAAGTCATAATTTTTCTTTAACCAGCACTGTTATATCCGCAGTTAGAACCAGGCTGACCTATAGAAAAAGCAGCCTTTAGTTTTGCATGTTAAATTTCAGGTTAAAACTATTTAAAGGAAACAATATCCTATCCATTCAATTTTTCGTCACGCTTATCCCTGGACAGGTCACCAGTCTATCACAGAGCAACACAGGGACAAACAGGACAAACAACCATTCTTGCACACACTCACACCTAATGAGAATTTAGAGAAGCCAATTAACCTAACAGTCATGTTATTGGACTGTGGGAGGAAGCCGGAGTAACCGGAGAGAAACCATGCATGCTCAGGGAGAATATGCAAACTCCTTGCAGAAAGAGCCCAGGCTGCAAATCGAAACCGGAACCTTCTTGCTGCAAGGCAGCAGTGCTACCCACTGCTTCACTGTGCAGCCCCAAAACAATATTCAGTTCTACGAAAACAACTGTCCAATTAGAAATTCTGATTTTCACAAAAGAAGAAGCCCAAGCTCAATTCCTAAGTTCATTATTTCTTAAAGGTCCTATAAATAAACAAAAAATGTCTTTTCCTCAGCTACTGCTGTGGTAATAGATGACCTTATAATAAAGAGCCCACTTTTAGTTTGATGTATTGCTACTGAAAGCTTAACCTTTTAATATATTTGGTATATACCATTTAATACAGACCTTTTATCTTTAATTTTCCACAGTTCTTCCTCTTTGGTAAATTAGTTTTATTCTGTTGTACCACAGGGGTGTGTCCTTGACCTCCCAGAGTTTCCTTTTACACACCCTCTCTCAGCCGGTCTAATCAGAGCTGTGATACTGTGCAACATTTACACCAGATCAAATGTTGACATTCCAGTAAGCTTCACTAAACGCACAGGTTTTCATTTTGGCAATAAAGATCTAGATCATGTAGATTTTTCTAAAATTAGTAATTGATAAGCAAGTCTGGCTAGTTGCTCTAATTTTCTTTTTCTGCTGTCACTGTAGAGTCCTTTAACAGGACTGAGTCAAAGCTTTCAAATTTATGAAATTTAAGAAGCAAGGCTGAAAAGTTAAATTCTTGCAATAGAACTTTTTGTTTTTGTTATCAAAGACATCTCCAGCTCTAATATGAGGAGATTTATAGGCTTTCCAGCAGGTTCAGGATCACCTCTTACTGTAGGTCTCCTTTTAAGTTAAACATTCCCAGCTATTCCACCATGATCCAACCGGGAATCCTTTTGGTTCAAAGTCTAAGAACCCTCAGCTGGCTCCTTGAATGAGGAAGAGCAGCAGCAGCTCTGCTCTAGATACCAATTTATGAAATCAAATTTGGAGAAAAATAAATTAGGATGTTGTCTTTAGTGAATAGTCATAAAGTAAAATAAGTAAAATAAGTAAGCAAAACTATAACTAAAATCAAGGTTTTAATTGATCTTCATTTAAGCTCTAATACTTATTTGAGGATATGAGGACGAAACTAAAGTAACTTAACTTTCCTCAGTAGGGTGATTGTGTTGTACATCTGAACTAATGTAACTATTTGGTCTTATGTTGTAAAACGTGACTAACCGGGTTGGAAGTTACCATATTAAAAATTTTTAAAGAAAAATGTCATTAGTATTGTTAAATAATAAAAATAATAATAAAAGAACAAAGTGAAAGCCAATGGAAGAGTTGCTAAAATTCAAATGTACTGATAAGATCAGGAAATTTGAGTTTTTACTGGAACAGGAACAGATTTAACTGGATTACACAATTAAAAATCTCTGGTATTACTATTAATCACGTCTGCCCCTGGGAAGAACCAGTGTGGGATTGTATAAACAGAAACTTCAGCAACCGCCACTCGAATGTTATACGTTCTAATCCATGCCTTGGTTTATTTTTCTGTCTGTTTGCATAAAGTAAATTTATCAGAGCAGAAAAGGCGTGCTTGGTGAAACAGCCACCATCAAGTGATATACAGGATGTGGTTTCTTCACTTCTTTTCTGAGGCTGCTAAACCATTGCGGTTGCACGAGGTAAAAGGCTGAGCAGATATACAACCTAATGCTGCAGAATATTGCAATAAACCATACAGAAGATGCACCTAATCAAACAGCTCGCATTAGTTTAACCTTAACTCTCCTACTTAACGTTTTTAGTTTGGTTATGGTTTACAGCCACAAGACCAAAGTACTTAACATGTATTTAACTATTTATGTGCTTTCGTATAATAAGGAATTGACTAAATTATAGAGGAAGTTTGTAGGTGTTAAGATAAAAAAGAGCCTCTGGAAGTTTCCTCACATCTGTTATTGCTTTAAATAGATTAAGTAACTATGAAGGAAATTTATTTTCAACGTGAAACAGAAATTCCTGTTTTTAGCTGGTTTATTAGTATGTGATCAAAACAGACTTACTATCATTCTGTGTGCATAAATAAACCACAGTGGTAAACCAATGAGAGCATTGGTTAGGAGCAGACTCACCACTGTGCAGCAGAGAGGCCAGAACCACCACATCAGGGCTAGAGCCACAAGCGCCAGCAACACCAGGATGACTATAATAACAATTGAACCATCTGACTGAAAGAGAAAAAGACAAAAAAACATATTGTCAAAATACAGAACTTGACATGTAATACGACAAAATACATATTATTAGGGAGAAAAGAAATCAAGATAAAAAATTTACATTTATATCAGAGAAAGGGAAACATTAATAAACCAAACTGAAATTAATGAAGCCTAGGAGGAAGTTCAACTAAAAAAACTAAACTACCTGCCCTGATTATCAGAGGATCACCTGCCTCTGACACAAACCAATCAGCTTTAAACCAAACCTTCACGAAGCCCAATCAGCATCCAGAGTTCATTTTAAAAGGTTTTCAGGTTCACGACTCCACCTGCTACCCAGCCAGTGCAAGCAGTGGTTGCGCCGTGTCTGATTTTGCCTCAGATAACCCCAATTCAGCCCACCTCCACCCCCTTCTCCAACATCATAGCTAAGCTGCATTGTCATTTTTCAATTCAAAATGTCAGCTTCAAACTCAACGCTAATTTTGAATTGAAAAAGCTTCCTGGATGGGAAGCAAAACATCTTCCATCTTGGAAACCAAGTCCAGTGAATTATGTTTTAAATCTTTTGGAATAACAGGTATATGAAAACATTGTAGGAGGAATGCTGTAGAGCAGGGGTGGGCAATTCCAGTTCCTGGGGGCCGGTATCCTGCAACTTTTAGATCCATCCTTGCTCCACAGACCTGAATTAAATGGCTTGGTTACCTCCTTAGTATGCAGTCACTTCCTCCAGAGTTCTCTCAATCATCTAATTATTTAATTCTGGTGTACTGAACCAAAGACAGATCTAAAAGTTGCAGGGTAGCGGCCCTCAGGAACTGGAATTGCCCACCCCTGCTGTAGAGGATGGATGGAAAGGAGAGGATACACAATTGAATGCTAGAACCAAATGTACCATCTATTAAAGGAGACCATATTATCTGGCATTAGCAGCTGAGCCAATGCTCCACTCCAGCCTTGTTGTCTACCTCAACACATCTAGAGAGTTTGTGTGTGGAACTAAGTGTAACATTCTGTAGCTAAAGCATTACCCCCCACTATCACTAAAATCTGCTTTTAAAGGAATAGTACACCCAAAACATGATTAGCCTTCATTTTCTACTCACCCCCATGCTGAACAACACTCTGGAGTACTTTTTTGATATCTCAAATGCATCTGGAGATCTGGGAGGCTTCTTGCTGTCTGCTGACATTCAAATAATGGAGGTCTATTGTGCCCGAGGCAGAAAGGTCCATAAAAGTCCACAAAAACGTGTCAATATTCCTCCATACTGCTCGTCCAATGTATTCCAAGTGTCCTGAGTGGGTAGCATCCAGAATTTACTCGAAACGAAGTCATTTAGAATGTTTTTATAGTGTATAGGATTTCTTGAAAGCGCGCACATGCGCGTTCACGACGCTACGGAAGCCGGCAGACCAAACCAGCGCATTCAGCTCGGCAAAGAACTCATGCTCTTCCTCAACACTGAAGTCCTCAGACATTTTTCTTTCGTTGTTTCTTTCTTTGCACAGGTAAACAACACATTTCTTCTTCTACGCTTGCATTATTGGCAGAGCAGACGCTGAATGCGCACTTTCATCTGGATTGGTCTGCCGGCTTCCGTAGGCTCATGAACGCGCATGTGCGCGCTTTCAGGAAATCCTATGCACTACTGTTTATGCTCTAAAAACATTCCAAATGACTTCGTTTCGAGTAAATTCTGGATGCTACCCACTCAGGACACTTGGAATACATTGGACGAGCAGTATGGAGGAATATTGACACGTTTTTGTGGACTTTTATGGACCTTTCTGTCTCGGGCGCCATAGACCTCCATTATTTGAATGTCAGCAGACAGCAAGAAGCCTCCCAGATCTCCAGATGCATTTGAGATATCAAAAAAGTACTCCAGAGTGTTGTTCAGCATGGGGGTGAGTAGAAAATGAAGGCTAATCATGTTTTGGGTGTACTATTCCTTTAAGGGACATAAACGTTTCTACAATGAAAAAAAATGATTGACCAAAATTTGTGTTGGTGTGTGTGTGTTTAAACAGCAAAAACATATGCTGCTTTCTTGGTACTTAACTTAACAATTCTAATAAAAACAAAGTCAAGTTGAATGTAAATATTTGTACCAGAAAAAATATAGCTAGAGTACAAATCAAACAGGATAAGTATTCCAAAACACTGCAACAGCTGTTTTTTAGAGAGATGTGCTGAAATTTGTTCAAACTTTTTTATTCTGTAGTATGTGGATCTAATTAAACACATCTTAACACAATCATTTATAAGTGGCTTGGTCATAGTATAACTTATCCATCCAGCAATGGAATCTGAATAAAATCACATTGGGATGCATACTGAAAGGTTATAGCTACAACTTTTTCATTCATAATTAAAATTATTAATCCACAGAACGTTTATTTTTACTACAAAAAAAATGTATACAAATTTTTGTTTTCTGAATTTTGAAAGGTCCAAAATGTATACAAATTTACTCTGGTTATGATGCTTTGATTATAAACAGTGATTCGCCTCCATGTTATGAATCCTGGCGTACCATCAAGAATAAATTATGAACAGTTTAGTTTGTGCATTCAAGTCGTTGCTCATAGGAAGACGTTACTTGGATGTAACGGAATATCTTCAGAACAGCTCCAAATGACACAAAACTCATATGGGTGAGTAGAACATGATGTAATAACGTAAATTCAAGGTCCCAATGTAAAAAACGGCGTTCCCCTTTAAGGAGGCAAAGGGGCTCAGAAGCCATGCAGCAGTTGCGACGTCCCTTCTCAACAGGTAAGTTAAATGTTTCCTAATGCCAGCCAAAGATTATTATTAGCTTTGTCAGACCTGGCAACCTGCTCGCAAACAGTACAATGAAAATATGAATAAGAGCTAGTGAGCACGAGTGCGCCACCTACTGACCAGGAGGAGATTAAATTGTATCTCCTTTACTATTCTTCTTGCACTTTCAAGATGTTTTGGGGATTTTTTTGGTACGTAAATAATTTTTATATTGGTTGGACTAAAAATGATCCAGACTCACACATGAAGATGCAGTGATGGTGAAGGCATTAGAGATGAAAGTTTTTCCACTGTTGAGGCTGATAAGAACGTCCATAGTCCTGAAAACAAAAACAAAAGGTTTATTTGTGAGTGTCATTTAAAAAAGGCCAAATGATAATGGCTCAAATCTGGTTTGGAAAGATGGATTTTTGAATGGAATTTTGAGAATAATGGATTTTCAATAAAACACCAATATAAGATGAAAGCAGTTTTCAATATTCAATATTTCACAGTGTGTGAAAACACTACATGCCATGTTAATGATTAATTTGTTTTCTTCCCATCAACGCCAAACTTTTAAGTATACTGTCATCAAAACAAAAGTTACGTTAAAAATAGATGAAATCCACCTAGGAAATAGACATAGTTTTCAAAGCTGGACAAAGAAAAGAAAAAGAATAAAACAGGTGATGAGACGTGAAGGGAGGAATCTTCTCATCCTCCCAGACATCAGGGTGTTTGGTTGAACCAACCTGACTTTCAGTAACAAGCCCTGTGAACACCTATGACTTATTTAGAGGCAGAAACGCAGAGGCCGAAATGGGCGCAATTAAAACCCTAATGATGAACGGCACCGCAATTTCCATATGTCTGTTACGCCCAATCCAATTATGGCAGGTTTAATGAGAACTTGGGATGTGGAGCAAGGGAAACGCTGGAACCCCCCCTCCCAGCCCTCACCCCAACATAAAACAGCAACGAGGAGAGAAAGAAGCCTGCGGACTGGTATTGTGTGTGAGGTGCCAGCTGTGAGCGTGTGGCTGTGTACAGGGGAGGCCTGCATTAAAACCGCTGCTGTGGAATAATAAACAGAGTGCTCTGTTTGCTGTGGATTTAGCCTGAGGCACAGCCTTGGGCCACTGATTCTCCTGTGGTTCAGAACAGATGAGCAACCAGAGCATGTGTCCATTACTATGCAGAGTATGGTAAATATTCTGAAGTGACTTCTTTGCACCTTACCTTGTTTGCAACACTAAATATTTAAGATGCAGGTCAAAGAACTTTGGTACAGGATGCAATCTGACAAGTAGTCAAACTTGTTGATTATAAACTTGGTTGAATTCATTATTTCTCTTTCATTATCTTTGTTACCAATTTTTTTTTTTTTTTTTTGAGAGGGAGAGAATGCTTTTCTAAGCATCTGAATGCTTAGAAAAGCATTCAGATGCAACATTATTTACAATCGCTAGGGTCAGATTTACAAGAATGAAGTCCCCTGGGAAGGGTTTTTTGGGACCCCATCCACCAGAATGTTTTTCTCATGCAAATTCCAGGTAAACATACACATTAGTGGGTACGATTTGATGCATGTTTGGTTTAAAACATTTACCAGATGGCTCTATGTTGCTCCTGAACTTCAGGTTAGCTACAACCTCATATTAAAATGAACTATAATACATTTACTGTATTGTTTATTCTGTTTAATTTTCTCAAAATCCAACAGTGTTATTTTTGCAAGGCATGATTTCATTAAAAAACCCAACAACAATGAAATCTCTGTAAGGTGACTAGCAGTCAGTGCCTTGCCTTCTCCCTACTGTAAGATTTTTTTAAAGTCTGACTCAGGCAGTCCTGATTTCCATTGTGATAAACTCACTATTCACATTTTCCATCATAATGTTTCCTATAATGTCCATGAGTTTTCAGTAAATCATAAATAACATGAGAGCCCAGAGGGCTATGAAAGGAAATCCGACTGGTTGTATAATATAAATTTGGGCCTGTAAAGAATGAATATCTGGCAAGATATCAAGCAAAGAAATCAAGCAAATATTGCAGCTACTGTATTTAGTGTTTGGTGCGTTATCCTGGTGATACTGTGATGAACATTATAGCTTTGTCCAAAGGTAATAAAGGATACATTAAAAGAAAAATAAGAGGGTAAAACTACAATAAAAACAAATGCATACTAAAAAGTGTATCTTAATTTTTCAAGGTCACTTATGCAGTTTTGAAACACCGGATATTTACAATAAGAACCATCAAACTACCCATCCCTCCATCATCTATCTATTCATCTATCCCTCCATCCAGCCATCCCTCCATCATTTCTCTATCTATTTATCTTACTATCCATCCATCTGTCAATCCAACATTTATCCATCCATCATCCATCCATCCATCCATCCATCCATCCATCCAGCATCCATCCATCCATCCATCCATCCATCCATCCATCCATCCATCCATCCGTCCATCCAACATCCATCCATCCGTTGGTCCATCTAACTTTTATCCATCCATCCATCCATCCATCCATCCATCCATCCAACATTTATCCATCTGTCCATCCATCCAACATCCCTCCAACCATCCGTTGGTCCATCCAACTTTTATCCATCCATCCATCCATGCATCCATTCAGCATCCATCCATCCATCTGTCCATCCAACATTTATCCATCCATCCAGCATCCATCCATTCATCCGTCAATCCAACATTTATCCATCCATCCATCCGTCAATCCAACATTTATCCATCCATCCATCCGTCAATCCAACATTTATCCATCCATCCATCCGTCAATCCAACATTTATCCATCCATCCATCCAACATTTACCAATCCATCCATCCGGCATCCATCCATCCATCCATCCATCCATCCATCTGTCAATCCAACATTTATCCATCCATCCATCCAACATTTATCCATCCATCCATCCAGCATACATCCATCCATCCATCCAACATCCATCCATCTATCCGTCGGTCCATCCAACTTTTATCCATCTGTCCATCCAACTTTTATCCATCCATCCATCCATTCAGCATCCATCCATCCATCCATCCATCTGTCCATCCAACATTTATCCATCCATCCATCAGTCCATCCACATTTATCCATTCATTCATCCATCATCCATCCATCCATCCATCCGGCATAGATCCATCTATCCAACATCTATCCTTCCATCCATCCATCTACCATCCATCCATCCATTTTCTAGGCCAGTGCCTATCTCCAACAGGCTATGCAGTGCATAACCTGGACAGGTCACCTAAATGAAAAACAATAACTGTTGGACAAATGATTTTAAAAAGGTTGAGTATTACCAGATCCTTAAAGAAAGTAATCACTGCTTTGACAAAGTGTTGGAAGTCTTTGCATGTTACTAAGAAGTTAAAGTGAGGCAAGAGGTGAGGGGGAGTAGTGGGGGAAGAGGCTAATTTAGCTGACACTCTAAGTCCAGAATAATGGTGGGCAGGTTGTTAATCAAGCTGGAGGTGCAGACCCTGCAGTGTGAAGCAGGAAAGCTCCCAAGCGAGTTACACTGATGAACCCAGCCCCCTTCATCCTGACAACACTGGACATCCTGAACGCACCACAACCCAACCGTAGAGAGCAGGATTTCCTCTGCTCTCCCAGACATACACACCAACCACTCAGTTACTGAACAAAGGCAGAATCCAGGCGTAAGTCATACAACAGCTTTTCTTTATCACCATTTTTTACCATTATCTACCTGAAAATTTCACTTTGTGGAATTGGTAAAACTAATGAACTACAAGAAACAAGACCACACAATGGAACCAAATCCATGCTTTTAAAGAAAAGAAAGGAGTGAGTGCTTTGAAATAAAAAGCAGAATAATTCATAAAAGAGTTTGGCTGTCATTTAACTTTCCTGCAGTGAAAGCCAGTGAGTGACACTGAAGAGGGAGCTGTAGCTGCTTGGTGGGTCGGTGATAATGTCTGAATAAATGGCAGATCCTTGTTACAGGATGCACGGATCAGTGAGCGTTTGGATGGAAAGAGACACTTTCTACCAGCTATGGGAATTTTAGTCGTAGATCTCTGGATCCCGGGTGAAAAACTTTTGTCACAGGGCTCGCTATGATGTGTCACAAAGTAGGTCCAGCATGACGCTAAGCTTTGATGATGCCACACAGCTGCAGCGGCCCAATAAAGGAGTCGCTAATGGCTTTCTAACTTCTTTTAAACATGTGAAAACTGTGGGGGTTGAATAATTCACAGCGCAGCATATGCAAGGCCTGTCATTTGGCATCCAGCAGCCATCACTCTGGACGAGTTTGCATGGCAGAAGTTTTTGATGGCGGGGAGGAAACCTGCCCCATGAAGCCTGGGGACCAGATGAGAAACCATCTCCATGAGACAGACATCCACCGTTTGGACAGAGACGAGCACTCGGGTGAAGCATTTAATTTAATCTGATCCCTCTGTGACAGACACTAGGGAAATCTGGCTGTTGCAACTCAGCAGAGGTAGATTTCATAAAACAGTGATCAAACTGTTAGTGGCTTTTACTCCAATATGTGAAAGCAGAATCACCGAACTCTATTTTACAATGTAAATGAAAGGAAAATTCCAGACTACGCAGTTTAGTAGCACCTAAAGCTTGATTTTAAGATACATAAGGGGGTTGATCACCACCAAAGGAAAACTGGAAGGTGTTGAGGGTCAGCAGATTTTTTTTTCTAATGTGAAATTAGGATTGATATTCCAGCTTGGCTAGTTTTATTTATCCTTCCAATCTCTTAGGACAACTTAAGGTGTAATCCTTCCTGCCTAGAGCTATCAACCCCTACAACACCCCTTTCAAAAATAATATATGGGTTACTGCAAATTTTAATTTCCCTTTGGGATCAATAAAGTATTTTTTAATTAATTTTAATTAGTCATAGACTGAAGCCAATCTGAAGTAGCTCCATACAGTGGGACAAAAAAGTATTTAGTCAGCCACCAATAGTGCAAGTTCTCCCACTCAAAAAGATGAGAGAGGCCGGTAATTTTCATCATAGATATACCTCAACTATGAGAGACAAAATGAGAAAAAAAAAATCCAGAAAATCACATTGTCTGATTTTTAAAGAATTTATTTGCAAAATATGGTGGAAAATAAGTATTTGGTCAGTTACAAACAAGCAAGATTTCTGGCTCTCACAGACCTGTAACTTCTTCTGTAAGAGGCTCCTCTCACATTTTGACAGAAATATGCCATGATGAGAAATGTATGACTGTATTCTGGAAAGAGTCATGAGGCCCTGTTCATGTTTGGTGTTCTTGATTGTTAAAGTGAGAGTGAACCCCATGGTGAGGACCAAAGTTTTCTCTGAGGACTTCTGGAAGACGTTTGTTGCTGATTTTAAAAGAGGATGCAAAGACATGGAGCAAATAGTCACCAAAGTGAGAAACAAACCAGTCAGTTGAGCACAAAAAGTGGAAAAGCCATCCATCATTTTTTTTCTGTCGCTGCCAGGTTGTTGTAGTTTTTCTTTTTCTTTGGACTTGTTCTCTAACTTGCTGTCTAGCGCCAATGGTCTTAGAAGGGTTCCAGTCGCATTCCCAAAACCAATAACTCTAGGTTCAGTCATCAAACAGGGTAGCTCTGATTGATGCAACACAAACAAGCTGCATGTGCAACAACAAGATACTTCTGCCGTAAAATTCTTCGTGCCCCAGGAGGAGCAGATGGGCCGGTGCCTCTGTGGGACATCCCGTTTAATTATTAACAAGCGTTCACATCGAACACTGTACCTGCTATGTAAGCCAGTGTCACCTCTCTTTAATTCATTTCTTCACCACGTATCGTAACCGTGAAAACACAGGTGAGGACATGCCTGCTGCAGCAAGAGCACAGCCACTTAACCTCTAAATGAGGCCCCAACATCGTGTGCAGGGAAGGAGGTAGATAGAGGGCTGATGCATGTGTGTGTGTGTGTGTACGAAGGGGGGGTTAGCAGATGCCTGCATTTCAAGTCTGATGCCACAGATGTCAGCACAGATGATGCCTCCACTCAGAGTGCTTCCACACAGCTCGATGGCCAACAGAGGACAGCTATTCCAGGAAAACCAGGGTGGATTTGAGGGTTGTGTGCTGCTGCTCCCCTGGTAGTAGACTGGAAACTGCAGCTGAGCATTTGAGCTCGAGGGACTGCTGTATCTGAAATATGTTACCCAGAGTATCCCATCACAGCAAAGAAAACTGTGTTTCTTTCAGAAGAGAAGGGCCCCATGTGTGACAAAAAACATGGACACAAAGTGGAGCCTGAGAAGGAATGTGTAGAGAGATTCTTTTACGGACGAGTAGAGTTGTGTTCAAGGAGCATCCAGCATGCCTGTAGTGCTGCCTGAGCAGAAGCAGACAGATGGACAGAGACGAAGGTTTCTGCGCTTTACCGTTCCATGCAGGTGGTCCGGGGTGCAGGGATTGTCAGAGCATGGTGAATTATTTAAATGGGGAGTGTGGAAAAGGGAATGGCTGCATCTGTCGCACATCCTTTTAGAGCCCCTACAGCAGATGTGTTTACTCACCACCCATAGCAGCTAACTGCTTAATGGGTCAGCATCGGCAGCCAGCAGTTAATTAGGCAGGTCTTTCTGTAAGCAGAAGGGGGCGGTACTTGATATGGGCGTCAGGTCCTGTCAGGATAAAATAGAAGAATCCAGCAGATCTACTGCTTGAAGAATAAAGCAAGCAGAATTCCACTGAAAGACTTACTAAGCAATAAGAAAATCACTCCTACCTGATTCATATGGAAACCAAGTAATCATCTGATGAAAAAGAGGAAATGGTCTTTTCTAACTAAAGTATTAATCCAGATCGTATCTTACATCATGCAACGGGTTTAATTATGTCAAATATTATTGCAACCCTTGCAGAAATTTACTCAGTTTTGCTGGAAAACAGCTATAAGTCAGCAATATTTGAATCTAGCTTTTTCCTTACTTATGGCAAAATGCCTTTGGGGAAAGGTACATAAGTCCAATGTTCCTGTTTATCTATGAGTAAGTGTTCAATGCACAAAAAGAAGAGCGCTATATGAACCAAGTCTGTCGTCCATTTTCCATCTGCATTTTTTCTCCTTGAACTATTCTTTCAAACCTCAAAAACGGGATCATGGAATATAATACAATAATACAAAATAGAATAGAAAGAGGGCTTTTATTGCAATTGCATGATGCATACAGTATGCTGAAGTTTGATTTAGCAAGTCTGTAGCAATAATTTCACAAAGTAAAACAAGTAAAACAATGTAGAACACTTACTGCACCAAAAAAGGTAAGCAGCAACAACAGTTTAAAGTTCTGCAGTTATCCTAGGACCATGTCCTGTTTCTATCCCTCAACCACTAAGCCTGTCTCCATCTGAGCCTTTCTGTCTGAGCTCACTGCTGGACTGATAGAAACCTGCCTTAACGCTCTGAGGATTCCTGGAACCCTGGTTCAGTCTGTTACTGTTGGGATCTGAACCCCTAGTCGGGCTACGCACTCCCAGATCTCAGAACGGTCCTGTTCTTAACTGTTTCCCTGACCTGGATCTGCAGGATCCTGGATCCTGCCTGCTCACTGAGGTTGCTGTATCAGGGACGCCCTGGCTCAGCGCTGCATCTCATTAGCAGTACATCAGCGATTCTCCACCTTCTCCTTGCAGTCGCAGCAGGTCCGCTGATCCACAGCATCCCATGTTTCTGTTCTGTCTTATTATTTTGTCATTAAACGATCTGAAACTTCCCACTGAATACTGGGTTCATCTGTCCTATTTAGTGCCGCTCCTGTTTGGAGATGCTAACCCAGATCACTCTCCAGTTTTGAACTGAGGCTGTTTATAGTAAATGTTACTGTTACGATCAAAACTTTTTCTCCTATGCATCAGAAGCATGGGTTACAACGACTTAAAGATGCGCAAGTATCATTTTTAACAGTCCTTCATCATCTTCTAGTTTGATTTTGATTTTATGTTAGCCTCTGGTAATGTTGTTAGCTCAAGCTAATATAATAAACATTAGATCTAGTCCAGTAGAACCTCCTCGCCTCATCAACCCAGCATGCATTGCACAAGAGGAAAAAAATGGCAAACTCTATCGTTGAAAAACCTAACAAATTTAATACAATTTCTGGAGTAATTATGAGTTTTCACATTCCCAAACAGCAACTTTTAAGTTAACAGTAAAAACTGCAAAATAAAGAGATCAGTTGTGTTCAAGTACTTGTGGAACTAATTTAGTAATCGATTAATCCTTAACTGGAGTATAGAGACTGTGAAACATCTCTTTAGCTGACAGAGCAACCCACAGAATAATCACAACAAAATTATTTAAAAAAAAACCCATTTGCTTTTAAAAAATTGTCTATCAATATGCTCTATTCAGAAGTTTCAGTTTCACCTTGTTTACTTCTGAAAAAAAAAAATCTTTAAAGTATGTTTTTTCTATCTGATTATTAATCGAAAAAAATAATCAAAAGACTAATCGATTTGCAAGATCATTAGTTGCAGCCCTAGTTTTAACAATATCCTGCGTTAGCATAAGGTAAAGCATAAGATAAGGCAAATAAAGATGTGAGAAGTTCACCTAAATAGCTACATTCAGGAAGTTTTTCAGCTTCTGCTGAAATAATATGTCATCTCCTTAATCTGTGCTGTGTTTTTAAAAATAGGCAGATTAATGGAGGTGAGGTTCAAGCTGGTTTGGAACAGATACAGCATCGTCGTCATTCAGCGATAAATAATCTCTTTTAGGGCTCAAAGGCCTCGAGGAGCCAGCAGAGCTCATAATCATACATTTTTGATTGGATTGCAGTCAGCAAGGACATTAAAATCTGTTGTTCCATCTAGAGTGCCTTAGCAATCATCTGCTCTGGTTTGGGATTATAAAATATGCCGTTAAAAATCAAACAATAACCACCCAAGCTGGAATAAAACACGTGTTTACACTGGTTTCTCATCGATCTTTGTGGGTCTTATGCTGGCAGTGTTTCTCCCTCTGCACTGTTTACCACCACTTCACGCTCAAGTTTTAACAGAAATACGGATGATTTATAGACTTAAGCGCCGTTTGTTTGGAAAAGAAAGAAAAGCAAGCAGGGAATCTGAGAAGTGAAACAAGTTTCTTAAACTGAAACCAGAGACAAACCACAAAAAATGTAAGCATATATGAAATTGTTCTGAGGAAAAAAAAATTCTTAGGAACCTTTCTTGGTTATAATATTATCAGAAGAGGGAAATATTTAGAGCTTAACCAAAACAACAACACTAAAAATAAATATGGAGACTTGCTCTTTAGCACATGTTAATGAGCTTCTTTCTTCCCAATCTATAAAAAAAGATCCAGTTTATAGAACATATTGAATCTATATCCAGGCTCCCTTTTCTAACTGTTGATGTGACGTCTGTCATTGATATTTCACACTTCTCTTGTGAACCTGCCAACATCATACCTTACATACGAGCCGCTGAACATATCTATAGTGCTAAATTAATTTACACATACTATGCTCATTTATAGCTTCATGCTCACGTTTTTCTTATTTCTAAAAAAAAAAAAAAAATTGTTGTTAAAGAGACACAACTCAGCAAACTTTCATTAACTAATCAGCTTCTTGTCTAATTTTGGATATGAGTGGTTTTGCATATTTGTTTCTTTTACCAAAAGCTTCATTGTTGCCCTATTTGAGCTTTAAAATAAAACATTTCCAGTTAGATCATCCTGGTAAAGTTGAAGTTCTCTTTTCTCACAAGTAAACTGTGATCCAAACTTTTTAAAAATCACAGAGAAACAAAAAAAAAAAAAGAAAAACAAACCCTGAAGTCAAAATTTTTAACAATCAATTAATTAAACAATAGAGAGAAAAAGAAACTACTTACTCTCCGACATCATACAGAACGGGAGCAGGACACAGTAGATAGTCATTGCGCACAGTTGTTGGCTTTTTGTCTGAAAAACAAAGAAAACAAAACTTTTTTGGGGAACCAGATTGCTTAATGTGAAGCCCTTATCTGCTCAGCTCATCCAGCTCAGTCCATCGCAGGGCAACACAGAGACAAACAGGACAATAAACGCACACACTCTTACCTAAGCAGAATTTAGAGAAGCCAATAACCTAACAGTCATGTTTTTGACCTGTGAGAGGAAGATGGAGTACCCAGAGAGAACCCACGCATGCTCAGGGAGAACATGTAAATTCAATGCAGAAAGACCTCGGGCCGGGAATCGAACCGGGAACACTTTTTTTCTGCCAGACAGCAGTGCTACCCACTGCCCTACTGAGCAGCCCATATACGACTATATATCTAAAAAGATAACAACAGGCTAAAAGCATCTCCAAATATAAACTACGCTGCAGATAAGTTAGCAGATCAGGTACCCAGGTTAAATAATTAGATACCTTCCAACTTTTAGACTCCCACCTGTGTCTGAAAGTTAAGCTCGGTTTTAACTTTTAAAATCTCTTTAACATGTCTGCATTTTCTGTACCAGATCAGAAATTTAATATGGTTACATCGTAAGTTTGTACCTATGTTCAATATCATCATGTGAGCAGTACAAAATGAAATTTCGTTTTGTATACACTGTGTATACAAAATGACAATAAAAGTTGTCTAAGTCTAAGTCTAATATCTGGTCCGTTGATACACTTTTTGTACATTATACAAACACCTTGATCATCTGGTGTTCAAAATAAAACGGATGTTCGGTTCAAGCATCACTACTGGCTCAGTTGAAATAACATTTTAATATGTTTTAAACTATGACAATTCTATATTTTAATGAGGAGTAACAAACTATTTCTCTTTAAAAATATAAATCCAATATTTAAAAGGGTTGATGTTTTATTTAGCTCAAAGTATTGGTTAAAAATGAAAGGGATGGCAGATTGGATTATAATTTGTGTGTTTGTGTGTGTGTGCGCTCATCAAAGGTTGACAAAGGCAGCCACTGAGATTATTCACATGACTGATGAGTTTTTTCTGCACATGCCTCCAACTGGTTTGCTGATGGAGAAGACCGTAGCATCTGTTTCACATATGTGGCGTGTGGTCCATAGTTGCCATGATGCTTGTCCATAATTATAAGGTGCCCCACTGTTAAAAAGGTCTGGACTGAACACATGCAAAAGCCAATAAGGGAATAAATAGCCCCAAGTGGGCGAATGTGAGACAGCCTAAACTGAGAAAGGACTAACAGGAAGACATCTGCTAATGGCCACTTCCCTAATTCAGAAAAGGGGCTGTTTTTATAAAGGAGAATGAAAATATGCTCAAGTATTTTAGTTGAGATGAAATGCTGAAAAAAAAAATTATCAAAAATAACTTGTCAGGGATGGAAGTGTTGTCATTGGCAGTCGCCGATCCCGCGGATCCCACGGCCAAATGAGAGCTTTAAAAGATTGGCTTTCGGTGCCAAATCCCGTTTGCTTCCTGAAAAAGGATTTCTCAACAGAACAGACTGCAAGCTCAAAATAAGGAGCAGTGACCTACATAAACCCTCTTTCTTCTGATGGATTCAGACAACGTGGATACGGCGAGATAGGGGCGTCGTTTTGCCACGTCCAACCTCTGAAACATTTAGCATTTATCAAAAAAATGAAACACTATTAATTAAATGACGGGTCGATTAATCCACTTAGTTTTGTCACTACAGATGTAGACTGAGGCAGCCACAGACCGGTGCTCAAGGAGATGAAAGAGGGGGATTCTTTTGTTCAAGTTGGATGCTTGTCTGAGATGAAAACAACCAAACAGATTAAACCACATGATCCAATAGATGATTAGTTTACCTCAGGGTATCTGTGCTTGTTTTTATTTTATTTCCCATAACCAGGTGGTTTGTTTGAAGGCCAAAGAAAATACAGCAAGTTGATCTTAATTCAAGATGTTTTCTCTATAACTTACTGTACTTTGTCTTTTTACTGAGGATTTATGTAATAGAAAAACTCAAAGTAGTGAAGAAGATTGTTTTGGATACATTTTACATTTAGCAAAATGCAAAAAAGGAGACATTCAAATCCTTTACTATTTTATTCTCAGATAAAATCAATTGAAACTCTGGAGGAGCTGCTGAGATTCACGGCTGTGAAATAAAAAAAAATCTTACTCGAAACGAAGTCATTTAGAATGTTTTTAGAGCATAAACAGTAGTGTATAGGATTTCCTGAAAGCGCGCACATGCGCGCTCACGACGCTACGGAAGCCGGCAGACCAAACCAGCGCATTCAGCTCGGCAAAGAACTCATGCTCTTCCTCAACACTGAAGTCCTCAGACATTTTTCTTTCGTTGTTTCTTTCTTTGCACAGGTAAACGGCACATTTCTTCTTATACGCTTGCATTATTGGCAGAGCAGACGCTGAATGCGCACTTTCATCTGGTTTGTCTGCCGGCTTCCGTAGCGCCGTGAGCGCGCATGTGCGCGCTTTCAGGAAATCCTATACACTACTGTTTATGCTCTAAAAACATTCTAAATGCCTTCGTTTCGAGTAAATTCTGGATGCTACCCACTCAGGACACTTGGAATACATTGGACGAGCAGTATGGAGGAATATTGACACGTTTTTTGTGGACTTTTATGGACCTTTCTGTCTTGGGCACCGTAGACCTCCATTATTTGAATGTCAGCAGACAGCAAGAAGCCTCCCAGATCTCCAGATGCATTTGAGATATCAAAAAAGTACTCCAGAGTGTTGTTCAGCATGGGGGTGAGTAGAAAATGAAGGCTAATCATGTTTTGGGTGTACTATTCCTTTAAGATTCTGTTAAATAATTGAGTCAACAATAATGTCATCTCCTGGCCATTTCCTACAGTGTTTTCTTAGATTTTCAAAGACTTTCAAAGTTAAAGATTTTAAAAATATGATGGGGAAGCTGGAGCAAATAAGAAGAGGTAAAGATTTAACAACAGGAAAGCTGTCGCTGATTTTATTTTTTCAATGAAAGAGGAACCAAACAGTAGAAGAGTTTTACTCTAAAACAACTACGTGAATCCATAGTTGATTTGGAGCAAATTTAAGGAACTTACTGATGGTTTGCTGATTCACTATGAAGCTGCATAAGACACCTTCGTTGCTGCGTCCGCTGGAGAAGCCGTTCCCTCTGAGAACGATGTCAAAGGACTCTGGAAATACAACAAAACCAGATAAAACTGCAATGAGGAATTTTGAAGAGTGTCAGTTTTTTGGAGACTCAAACTCCTTTTTTATTATTTTATCTTTAAAAATTTTCTTGGACAAACTCTCTCAATGTGGGTGCTGTGAGATAAAATATTTTTCAAGTATAAGTCTGACTGTGCATTGCTAAAATACAAAGTTCAACAACAGGATCAACTTACGATTCACGCACACGGTGGAGGGTTCAACAGTCAGAATCTCTGTACATGATCGCTTTAATATCTGTGGGATGAAAAAAAAAATGCAAATGAATTTGCCTTTGCTTGGACATGGCAGGAATAAATACATCAGTCCCTGACTGTTATTGGCTCTGTCGCGTTTAGAAAACAGATCAGGAAGCAACACCTGAGAAATGTCCCGCTCCTGATTGGCTCTGGGCGGGAAAAGGAGAGCGGGAGGTAAAACAGCAGCTGTGTCAGCCTTTATGGGGAAATTATGCAAGACGATTACTGTTCCTTGGTTCTATTAAAAACCTCTCAGGGATCTTGCATTATCATATAAAGAGGCCTGTGTGAGCGCACTGTCACGCAGCTGCACTTCCCTCTACGATTCAATAAATCAACAAAGGGAAAACTATGCAAATCCCACTGCAGAGTGAGTAAGAAGAAGCATATTAATGGCAGTGGAGGACATTTGAGTCTTTCATTTGATGTTGGACAGAAGCTTAATCTGAGAAATGGAAGATGGAAGTGTTTACAGCAGCCTTGTTAGGGATGATGGTGCGACACAGGGTTGTATGACAGCTGGGAGGAAATGGATCTGCTGCTCTTCCTCTCTACCTCTATTTCCTGCTCTAATTACTTCCTTGGCAGTGCACAGGAGGGTAAAAAATGGGTGACTATACCAATAAAATAACAGTTTTACTGCTTAGACTTCAAACTATGAAGTTTGGACAAAATTTCCCCCTCTAAGAGCTGAAACTTTTATGGTGCAAAATAACTAAAAATGACCAATTTATACAGTGCATTTATTGTAATTTAGCCATTTAGTTAAATGATTAACGGATGTGATTGGAAGCGATTTGGGAATGTTAAAATAAACACTCTAAATGTGGTAATTACATGTCTCAGTTTGGTTTTATTTTTTCATGATCTGATGGCAAACATTATTTATGGGCTATGAAGAAGAGAAGGCAGATGTCCAAATATCCAAAGTCATTCAAATATCTAAGCCAGTGTTACAGCTAAACAGTCTTAAGAAATCAGACTTGTTAAATAGATTAAGAGAGAAATAATTAAAAATAAAGATGAGCTACTGTGTTTTCCACAATTTTGGCATCCGTGATGAAGAGAATTTCCTCTTTTATAAATAATGAAAATAAAACTCTGGGCTAGATTTGCAAAAAGTTCCAATGTCTCTCTGCTCTAATGTCAGGTTTTTGATCATCATCCTGCTTGGCAAAGATACGCTCAGTTTTTTAGCAGAGGTTAAAACATGTTTATTTAGGCTGTCCTGTTTCAGACTCCTAAAATAGTTTGCAGGGTTTGACAGGGGAGAAACAGCCCACAGCATTATACCTCCTCCGTACTACAAACAGTGGACATGAAGTGCCTTCCACAGTCATCCTCTGCTTCATTTCAGTTCCACAAATGTGGGTGAGTGAACCTTGCAAAAAAAGACAATCTTGAAGCAATTTCTTATTGTAAAATATTAACATATATCTGCTCTGGTCTGTTCTCTAATTTTGAAGGGTCACTAAAGAAATTGTCTTTACAACCCTGAAAAACAGAAAGCTTTAAGTTACTCACTTAAGTTAAATAAATTCTGATCAACTAAAAGAGTAAACAAGATAGAAAATGTGCTTTTGCTATTCTAGAAACATTTTAGGTCAATTTTGAAGATGTTTTCTCTACTAAATGTACTCAAATATAAAGACACCATGCTACTGCAATGTGGGATGTAGGATTTCTAATAACTATTTCGCACCTTTACTAATAATCATGGGTGGAATTGCTGAGAAAGCCTAAAGTTTTCCACGATTGCAAAACTGACCCATTAGGCTCAGTAGATAAAGGTGCAGGTTTTTTCCCTCAATATCAGCAGCTCAGATAAGAGAGGTCAGACAGAGTGCAGAAAAATATTATAAACAGCCTCTCAGAGCCTTAAAAGCCAACTTTGCTGCTCTCTTTCTGTGAGTTTTGTCAGGCAGGTCGCAGAGGAGAGGGGGATCCTACAGCAAAAAGGCTGCGCAGATGATCCCAAATCCTTTCAATCCGACAGAGAAGCGACGAGGCCAACAACCCAGGAATCCAGGATTACTAATCAGAGAGGAATGCTGCTCGTTTCGTTTGGATTCTAGAGGCATCCTTGATCTCAGTCCCCTCAGGGGGGTGGGTGTGACAGGAGAGCTGGACTTTTTCAACATTGCTCTGAATGTTCTGAAACAGGCAATTGGAAGCATGTTTATGCTGTTTATGCAGTTTCTGCTGAAATTGCTGCACACCATTTGGTTCCAGGAAATCTGAATTCTTGCTGCATGTAGATTTGCATGCAGCAAGTGTAAGTGCAGCAACATGTAAGTAATAATCCAGCTCTACACACTCAAAATTCGTTTTTGCAGCTTAAAAAAATGCTTACATTTCAAAACCAAATAAGAGGATTCATAAAACAATGTTTCCATATTTAAAGCCAGAAAAAATACAATCAGGAACAGAAAGATTTCCATTTTTGGAACCATCATTCTTCTTTGTGTGTGTCTTGCAAAACAATGATTTAGAGCAACAAATTTAGACCCTTATGCACACGTCAGTCTCTTTGAAAGCAGCATCATAAATCACAGTTCAGTGCTTTCTTCATCATACATCAGAAACAAGTACCACCCTTTGGCTCTGTGTCCCTGCAGCTGCATGTCTGACAGCTCTGTGTAGTTCAGGCCTTTTCCTAAACACTGCTGGCCTTGTCTGCAGATGCAACGCTCCACTTGGGCCAGAGACTTCTACAGGGCAGGAGATTCTGACAAAGCTCCACCTAGGCTGACAGTGTTCAGTCTGAATGCTGCGACAAATGGAAAGTATCACTAACTGGCTGGCAGAGGAGGCAGAGGCTGGTTGTTAACACTGTAAGGGACTCTTAATCTCTGACAGTGATTTACTAACTGAATATTATGTTACCGCAGCTCATATTTTTCCATATAGCCTTACTCAATTGAATTTCAAAAGCGTTTTTCATGCAGCCTACCTAAATGTTGGTGCAATTGTTTTCTCACATTGCGGTGGCAAAGATTCTACGTATTTCTTGTTTTCATATAGAAAAACTCAGAAAAGAAATGCAGAGCGGCCAAACTTACAGAGTTGACAATGCCTTTGAGAGCGTGGAAGCCATCTTTGACAGGAAACACGTTGTCTATGGAGTCGGCGATGTCAGAAAGCTGTTGGAATCGTAGAAAAGAGAAATAAACAAGAAGTGCTGCTGATCTAACACTGCTCTCTGCCTTCTTCTGTTTCCCTCTTTATGACTGAATGGCGTCTTTCCTTGTGTCGCGGGCAGGAGGAGATGGAGCAGATGGCGGGACTGTGGCAAACACTTTGCTCAACTATAAAAAAAAATGATTGCAGCAGAAACTGGGAGCAATACTGCCTTTGTTTTTTTACTTAATGATGGCTCGTGGCAGGATGGTTACCAATGGTTACAAGAGACGGGCCACCATGTTGGAAAAGAAATTGTGAAACTCCAGACATCCCTGACAAGAGAAGCGCACAGCCGGACTGGAGTAACACTCAGATGGCCAGACACTTAAAGATACAGTACAGAAAATAACTCTAGGAATGAAATAACGGTTTATAAAGGTAATTATTATGATCAAAACTATTTGAAGAGCATCAGTTTATGTCTCTGAAAAACACAAATTATGCGAAATGCAGATTATTCTTTGTGTCCCACTGTGTTACTATCAGGACATACCCCTTTAATAAAAATGTTTAGTCCTATGTCAATATAACAACTTCAAAAGGCTTTTTCCTCACAGCTGAAACCCAAGTTCAGAACCCTTCCCCTCTGTTAAGCCACACACTTCTCTAGCAGTACAGTGGCTGCAGATTAAGACTAAAAGCAACTTACCTGCTTCTCATCAGAGGCGTCAACACCAACGCAGTAAACACGAGCTCCATATTTCCTGGCTTCATCAGCCTGCAGCTCAGGCAAGAGATGTGCAGCAGGTTGGATGTGGAGGCAAAAAGACAAAGAGAGAGCCTCATAAAAACAACTTAAAGTTGAAATACAGGAGAAAAAAAATATTCCCTCTTGAAGAATAAGTATGTTTTCTATCTGAAAATAATTAAATCAAAAGTATTTTATGTGAATTTTTTTCAGATAGAGACGCCAGGCTGACCTCATTCACGGTGAGTTCATGGACATAAACTGGCAGTTTCCCGTCTGTAAGAGCCAGGATGATGCTGGAAGACTTCGTGGTCTGCGCCTTGATCTGTTCCGAAGCCTTCAGCAGTAAATAAAATGTGTTTAGGTTAATTTCAAACATAATCAAATTTACAATATCAACAAACAACATGTTCACACGTTAATTATTACTCTGTGTTCAGAAAAGGAGTCAGTATCTATTCCTACCTCATTAAGCTCAATCAACTGCTACCAAATTATTTACATTATTGGATATTTCCAATAAAATGCTTACTCCAGACTTCCTTGGGGAGAGGGATGTCTAGTTATCCCACATGATCACCCAAAAAAGTGGAAAACGAAAAATACCAGTACCTACCGTAAATTCCGGACTATAGAGCGCACCTAATTACAAGCCGCACGCTCTAATTTTAGAAAGAAAATCAATTTTGTACTTTTATAAGCCGCACCGGATTGTAAGCCGCAGGTTTCCCACGTTGTATTTACAAATAAAAAAATTAAACGTGAGCATTTTTTAACGTTTGATTTAATCTGCATGATAAAACAAACAAATATGGTACATGTTATGAATGCTTTTTTTTTTTCAAACTACCTGTAACACATTTAAATATACGTATGTGTCGGTAACACGCAAATAACGCTGCATATACCGGTATTGAACAACGCACAGAACATTGCAGCCGACCAAGAAAAGTCATTAATCACTTTCTTCTTCCTCCTGCGCACTAAAACCCTCAAAGTCCTCTTCCTCGGTGTCTGAATGGAACAGCTTCAGGATGCTGTCACTGACTTCAGTCTCATCCTTGTCGCTCTCACTTGAGCACTCGCGGTCCTCTTCACCCCGCAGCAGCCCAGCCTTCCGAAACCCGCCGGTGATGCTGGATATTTTTACACGGCGCCATGGAAAAAAGCATGTATTAGCCGCACTGTATTATAGGCCGCAGTGTTCAAACAGCGCGAAAAAAGTAGCGGCTTATAGTCCGGAATTTACGGTAGTTTGTTTTCAGTTTTTATATTTTTAACTGATTGCAAACCAACAATAATTTAACTGCTATAAATCTGCATTATCCTGTATTTATTGTCCAGGGTTAAATAAGCACTCCTTATCTTTAGATGTGGGAACCAGGGAAGAACTGTGGGTTCTCCTATGTCATCCTCCCACAATCCAAAAATAAAAAAACACTAGTTTATTTGAGTTGTGCAAGGTGGAAAAGCAGATATAGATGATGGATGGTTTCATTTACTTTACTCTTCTTTACCGATTTATGTAATCTACTGCTTACATTCTTCTGTTACATTTCTATATAATCTATTTTCCAGAGAATGAAAGTAATTTTGTTTGTAAAGATGTTTTGACCCCCAAAACTTCCAGATTTGCTTCCCTTCTTAAAGCCTGTTTTTCCTAATTATTTATTTTATCTGAACTTCTGAGTGATATCTTTTTGAGCGATTGCATTGTTAATCAGAGTTAAGTAGCTGAACAGCAGAAACAAAAAGTTTAACTCACCTTTTTCATTCCTTCATGCATGTAGGTTTCACCTGCTGGTTGGATATTGTACAAGCGTTCCAATCCCTCTTTAATTTTAGACCTAAACAGTAAAAAACGTCACATGTGGGTAGAGTTTTCTTGTAATGCTTCGGTGTTCCTGTTTTTCGTCTATTGATAAAACCATGATTTTAGTGCTTTAGGTTTAAATATTTCTCAAACTCTTAATTACAGCAATGAGACCAGTTGTAAAGCTAAAATCCTTTAAGTTGTGGGAAATCATGGGCCATCAGAATCATCAGTAAATATGGCTTCTTAAAACACTTAGAGTGAACACAAATAAAATAATTTAGCTTTAATGATTTTGTCATCTGATTTAGGTTTGAACAGTAGGGAAGACGATTAGGGCCACAGAAAAAACTAAATAAAAGTTAACTGATTTTTTAATTTTCTTTCAGTTTAATGTGTGAAAAAGTCCGAATTCTGACTTTTTTGTCAGAATTTTGGATCTTAATGTAGATGGCACCATGAAGGAAGATATGTGGGAGCACTCAGCTTCACTGACAAAGATGTGAGTTGTTTGAGAGGGCCAGTGACTCATTGGTGGAAAATGACAGAATTAAGCAACTTTTAACGTGCCCGAGGGGTCCCCTCATTAATGGAGGAGCAGAAGGTCATTAAAACAAGAGAGCTAGTCACTAAACAGACATGGCTATGGCTTGATGCTTACATGTTTGTTATCTGTCAGAATTCTGAGAAAAAAGTCAGAATTCTGACTTTTTCTTATACTAAAATAAAATTTAAAAATCAGTTAACCTTTTTTTTTTCCAGTGGCACTAACCTCTTCCATAGAACAGAGTTACAAAACTCTTAGATAAGATAAAATTCATCCATTAGGTCGATTATCAGACAGAAAAAAACAAACAAATAATTGTTAACTAAACGTTTGCCCTGTCCGCTTTGAAACATATCATATTTTTCATTTGCAATATATGATACAGTACTTTATTAAATGCTTAAATTTTTTTTAAAATGTGATATTTCAAATCAGCATCTGCTCTTTCGGTCATACGGAAAGCCATCTGGCTGTTAGGAAACACAATTCCTTAATAACCCTCAAGAATCATGACTAGCATATACGTCTCACTGTACTTATCTAATAGCAAGTATGTTGCATAGATTTCCACAGAAGTTCAATAAATACATGGTTATGTGAATATATTATTATGCATAATGAGCATTTATACAAAAATATTTTTTTTAAAACCATAAAAAGTTAGCATACATTTCAGAATCATTATATAGCTCTCCTATAAGTCCTCAATATAAAAAAAGAAAAAAAAAACTCTGACAGCTGTCGTGTTGTATGGATTAATATCAAGTTATTCCTTTTTCAAATATAATTTAACTTTTATTTTGTTTCAGATTAAATTAGTAATTTATTTCACTTTTACCCATCTCCAGTCAGAGGCAGCAGAACTTCAGCTTGGGATGAAAAAACTATGAATGAGACCCTCATTCGATCACTGTGGAAAAAAACAAAGGTCACACAAAAAAAATCTGTTAAAACCTGGAAACCAATGGACTTCATCACAACAGTAAACACAAAGATTAAAAAAGAAAAGCGGAGACAGATTTTGTTTAAAGTTCAAAAATGCATAAATAATGATGCAAACAGAAGGAGCTTCTTTAATGTCAGCTAATTATAGTGCATGACTTGAAGCAGCTTCTGAGACACAGAGGAAGTGATTAATCAGACAAGAAATATGATGATGAGTCACACGCAAACATCCTGCTGGACAAACATTATTTATTTGTACACCCTGTACCTGTGGTTCTATACGGTGACGTAGCATCAGATTGGACCCACTCACCTGTCCACCAGTTCTATTTATATCCAAGAAACCTCAGGCACATAATAGAACAGAAGATGCTCACAGATTTCTGCTTACAAAAAAACAGGTGGTTTCTGTGCAAATATCCCAAAATTAACTGTACTTTTACTGCCTTTATATATATATATATATATATATATATATATATATATATATATATATATATATATATATATATATATATATATATAAATAAAGATAATGTCTTGAATTTTAGAAATTAAATAATCTATCAACCCTCTAAACATTTTAACCAGTTGCAGGACTAATTGTAAGAGCACCTGAGATAGAGCCAGAATTCAAATAGTTAACAACGGGATTCCTACATATTTGTGTAAAAGAGCTCAAAGTATTCAAAATAAGTTTTTCAGTTGGTTTTCCTTTGGGAGAGCAGGAAAGCAAAAAGTCACAATATTATCCTCCTCAGCTAAAAGTCTGCGGCCAAGAAAAATCAGCCTAGCTATATTACTATTAAATATTTACGGTATTGTTGGATACAGAAAAGAAAAAATGTAACAGACGTGATAAAAGATAATAAGGCTTTCTACCACATCTAAGAAGAAAACTACAAAATGCCCTGAAGGCTTTAATTGGTACAAGTGATTATAAAAGCTTCTAATTCAGCATTGTCCCATTTAAATCATCTTATAATAACTTGAAATATATTTCTCAAAATATTTATTTTTTGTCTTTAGTTTTTAAAAAGAATAAAAAGGCAATTTAAAGACGTTCACGGAAGAAAAGGGCATTAATAACAAAACATAGAAAACCGAATTATTTTTTATGGAGCAGAGGGGCAATAAAACACTGTTCTGCGAAAGCTTTTCTCCTCGGAGCTGAATGCATTGTTACACTCAAGTTTCAAGACTGCTCAAACCAAATCACTGCATACTTTTTTAGATTTTTTAATGCAAAAAATAAGCAGTATTAAAAAAAAAAAAAAAGTCTTATAAGACACTTTCTATTCATATCAAAGTGTCTTAAGTGGCTTTTAAATCCAATCAGCTCTATGGTGCAGCGACCATCTAGAAATGCAAACATGATTTTAAAAATACCATAAAATTAGATGCATTGCAAATTTAACTGGAAGTTTCGGGTGACCGGTATTCTTGCTAAAATATTAAATAAGAATTGAGCAACTTCCCCAAAACTAGATCTTATGAGTTGAAGTGTGACACTCAGGATGGCTTCCTCCTGAGCTACTTAAAACTTCTTATAATCAAGTAACACAAGTGTTTCCTTCAGAGATGTGAAGCCTTTGGAGCATAAGGAGAGGTGCTGATATTTCTCAACTACATGACACATGGCCCAGTCGCCATCCTCCCCCACAAACACGCCGCAAAATCTTTGGACCAGATCCGCCAGGGAGGAGAACCAATATGCGTTCATATGTGGACCTAATAAGAGGCGACTAAGGTCACAGATGAGGAGCGGGGGCGGGGTCCTGATGTGAAGCAACATTCGAGATTCTCTGTTTTAAGAAAGACTTGGGATGAAGATGCCAAAGACAAGGAGAAATCTGACGATGGTGGTGGGTTTTATTCCTGGTTAGAAAGGCGACGGGGGGAGGCTGGGTGATGAAGGAGTCCAGTTTGCTCCACATGGCAGAACAGAAGTGCTCTTGGTGAGCGAGCATTGTTTAGCAGATTGTCCCCGTCGCCTTCCAGTGTTCTTTTGCTTTACTGTACATTGTCTGCCTGTCAGCCGTTCTGTGGTGGAAGCAGGGGATAAGTGTGGAGCCGGACCCCCCCGGTGCAAATGGCCATTCTCACAGCCCAGAAGACTGCTCCTCTCTGCCACCCACTCCCACCTGGTGCCTTTGCTATTTTTTTCAACCAACCACTTCATTCTGGCTGTGGCGCTACCGTCTGTACTGTGCTGGCAGGCGCCATTTGACTCAAACATTATGCAAGCTGAGCACTTCGGGTCTGTTTTAACGCTTTTGTCTTTTATTAATTAGGACTAGAAAAGGATGAGAAAAGATCGTTTGGAAAACAGGTGGGAAGTCCTTTAAATCTGTGCGGCAGACGGCAAATAATGATGTCATTTATCCAATAAAACAGCTTAGAAGTCTGTTAAAGTACTCCATTTTCCCAACTTATGACAGTTTTACTTTTCCTTGAGAGGAACAAATCTTTTTCATTCTAAGCCCTTGGTGCTAGAATTTATATTACATGTAATATATATAAAAAGAATTTTTAATTTTTGCCATTAAACGTTTGCCAAACGTAGACTGTTACTTCTGCCATTGAACAGATGAAATAAATTAATATTTAAGTATGCTAAAACAGTTATAACAATCATAATAACATCCATTGTCACGTTCCAGGTGTACAAAAAAAAAGTGCTTTCCAAAGGTTCCCTAGATCCACACTTAAAGGAATAGTACACCCAAAACATGATTAGCCTTCATTTTCTACTCACCCCCATGCTGAACAACACTCTGGAGTACTTTTTTGATATCTCAAATGCATCTGGAGATCTGGGAGACTTCTTGCTGTCTGCTGACATTCAAATAATGGAGGTCTATGGCGCCCGAGACAGAAAGGTCCACAAAAGTCCACAAAAACTTGTCAATATTCCTCCATACTGCTCGTCCAATATAATCCAAGTGTCCTGAGTGGGTAGCATCCAGAATTTACTCGAAACGAAGTCATTTAGAACGTTTTAGAGCCTAAACAGTAGTGTATAGGATTTCCTAATAGCGCCCCCATGCGCGCTCACGATTCTACGGAAGCCGGCAGACCAAACCAGCGCATTCAGCTCGGCAAAGAACTCATGCTCTTCCTCAACACTGAAGTCCTCAGACATTTTTCTTTCGTTGTTTCTTTCTTTGCACAGGTAAACAGCACATTTCTTCTTCTACGCTTGCATTATCGGCAGACCAGACGCTGAATGCGCACTTCCTTCCGGTTTGGTCTGCCGGCTTCCGTAGAATCGTGAGCGCGCATGGGGGCGCTATTAGGAAATCCTATACACTACTGTTTATGCTCTAAAAACATTCTAAATGACTTCGTTTCGAGTAAATTCTGGATGCTACCCACTCAGGACACTTGGATTACATTGGACGAGCAGTATGGAGGAATATTGACACGTTTTTGTGGACTTTTATGGACCTTTCTGTCTCGGGCGCCATGGACCTCCATTATTTGAATGTCAGCAGACAGCAAGAAGCCTCCCAGATCTCCAGATGCATTTGAGATATCAAAAAAGTACTCCAGAGTGTTGTTCAGCATGGAGGTGAGTAGAAAATGAAGGCTAATCATGTTTTGGGTGTACTATTCCTTTAATATGTGATAACTGGCATTGAGGGAATGCAAATGCTATCTTCCCTGTTTGCATAACTCAAACTTTTTGCTGCATATTTTCAATTAGGGTTGCAACTAACGATCATTTTGCAAATTGATTCATCTGTCAATTATGTTTCAATTAACCGATTAATAATCAGATAGCAAAAGGTTTCTTAAAGAAGATATATTTTTTAATTGAACCAGTTGAAACTCAAACTTTTCCACAAAATGTTTTTATCTTAAAAGCAAAATGTTTATATATCTTTTTTTTAACAAGTTTGATATAATTACTCCTCTAAGTGTGTTGCTTTGTTAGCTAAAGGCATAATTTAGTCTCCATACTACAGTTGATGATTATCGATGACTAAATTTGTTGACGATTGTTTCAATAATCGAATAATCCGATTAATAATCCAGTAGTTGCACAACAGGCATCGAAGGGGTTAAAGTAATATTGCATGTTGCTCCATGTATTATCTGCACAATTCATCCTGAAATTGGAATTTAATAATCCAGTTAAGGTATAAACACAATAAAACAACATTTTCTGGTCAAATGTGCGTCCATACTTGCCTCACGAATCGGTCCGTAAGGTTCTTCACAAAGTAGTAGATCTCTTTAAAGTTATCAGATAAGCTTCCAGACCTGAAGTAAGAAAAAACACAAGAGTGAAAACAGAGGACACAGAAGACTGGAAGCTGGGAAGTCAAATGCATGGTTGTGAAACAATTACACTTATAGTAGGCTTTAAGAGCAGCAGGAACAGTAATTGCTCTGCAAAGTCTGTGTGCTGTAGCAGTCGCCTCACTGTTGTAAGGACACAGTTAGCTGCTTCGGTTCTAAACATAAAACCATAAAAGACCCCAACCTCAGGTAATTCACATGATCAACAAACCACAGGTCTGAACTTTTAACTAACCAGACTAGTCTTATAAAAAGCTGCTTATTTTGGCATGATCTTTGGTAAAACAACCAGATTTTGTGCAGCTAATTCTGCATATTCTCTATGAATTTATCAAATTCAGATTAAACACATCTTACTGCTGGGATATATGTAGGCCACGCACCCCTACACACAATCTCTATGCTTTATAAGTGTTTACACTGCTTTAAACTTCTTCACATAGTGTTATCAAATTTTTGATTATACTTTTTTGTTTAAAGGGTTAAAACATGTGCTTTACTAAAGAAGGATAAATAAATATGTGATTTATTATTACTATCACAAAGAAGAGATTTATTTCTTACAACACAGATCAATGTGTTAAGACTTTGATTAGGATCTTGGTTTATAATACCCCCAATGTAAAGCTAGCTGTCATTATCTCCTGAAATTTCAATGGAAATTTAATTTCCCTTCATTTTTTTAATGAAAACTTTTACCCCTTTGGAACGTTACTGATGGGCCCCTCAGATCTGCCAAAGCATCCTCTTATCCAAAACCTACAGTAAATGTCCTAAGCCTTCAGCTTAGGAGAGGCCTTCAGCTCCATTTCCTATCAGTTCACGATTAGGATTCATTGGGAAAAATGCTTAGAATAGTTTTGATGTTTAAAATGAGCTGACCAGAGTCCTTTCCAGATGAAATACTCTGGACTGCTAAATAATTTCTATATCCTTCAGCAGGGTAACACTTTCACATGTAGCTCTCTTTTTGAAAACCCTCTTTACAGATCCTGTGTCTGATGCTGTAGCCAGATGTGTTTGACAATTTTAATCAGACAGTTTTATTGTTTTTATCTGAGCAGTGCTAGGCTGTGTGGGAGCTGGATGAAAAAGAGGAACAAGAGATGTTTTGCTCAGGAAGCCATCCCTCCTGGATTTATATCCATAGCATGGCTCATCGGGGGTTTCATCATATGAATCAGAGCCCCAGAAAATAAAATTAACAAGTAAATGTTTGCATAAAATCAATCTGGAAGATCTAGAATAAAGTGCTTTTAACTCAATCAAAGAGGCAAAAACTAAGCAGGTGACTTTTTGACTGCTTTTCTATGGAATTCCCTCATTCAGATTTAATCTTTTAACTCTGTCAGTCCTTTTAAATATTAGTATTTAAATACTGGATACCTTAAATGAGAAACTGTTTCAGCCATAGCATTTCATCTGCAGTAGATTGTTCTTTTCTCTCCCTAGTTTAACAAAACAGTACAAAAAATAAATGAATCTTTTTCTAATTGGTCACAGATTTCCGAAAGTTAGCAGCTGATTGGTTGATAAAGCCCATGTGACAACTCTGGAAGCTGCAGGCTTCCGGGTTCATGTTCTAAGATTTGTACGGAGAGAAACTGAGTATAGATCAAAGGAACCAGATGACTAGAACCAAGCCTCATCAGGCTGCCAGTCTCACTCTGCAATAAATATTTGTTCATATTGCACATTTTAAAAGTTTCAGCACATTTTTATCTAAAAGGAATAGTACACCCAAAACATGATTAGCCTTCATTTTCTACTCACCCCCATGCTGAACAACACTCTGGAGTACTTTTTTGATATCTCAAACGCATCTGGAGATCTGGGAGGCTTCTTGCTGTCTGCTGACATTCAAATAATGGAGGTCTATGGCGCCCGAGGCAGAAAGGTCCATAAAAGTCCACAAAAAACGTGTCAATATTCCTCCATACTGCTCGTCCAATGTATTCCAAGTGTCCTGAGTGGGTAGCGTCCATAATTTACTCGAAACGAAGTCATTTAGAATGTTTTTAGAGCATAAACAGTAGTGTATAGGATTTCCTAAAAGCGTGTTCACGAGTCTACGGAAACCGCGGCAGACCAAACCAGACGAAAGTGCGCATTCAGCGTCTGCTCTGCCGATAATGCAAGCGTAGAAGAAGAAATGTGCTGTTTACCTGTGCAAAGAAAGAAACAACGAAAGAAAAATGTCTGAGGACTTCAGTGTTGAGGAAGAGCATGAGTTCTTTGCCCCAGCTGAATGCGCACTTTCGTCTGGTTTGGTCTGTCGCGGTTTCCGTAGACTCGTGAACGCGCTTCAAGGAAATCCTATTAACTACTGTTTATGCTCTAAAAACATTCTAAATGACTTTGTTTTGAGTAAATTATGGACGCTACCCACTCAGGACACTTGGAATACATTGGACGAGCAGTATGGAGGAATATTGACACGTTTTTTGTGGACTTTTATGGACCTTTCTGTCTCGGGCACAATAGACCTCCATTATTTGAATGTCGGCAGACAGCAAGAAGCCTCCCAGATCTCCAGATGCATTTGAGATATCAAAAAAGTACTCCAGAGTGTTGTTCAGCATGGGGGTGAGTAGAAAATGAAGGCTAATCATGTTTTGGGTGTACTATTCCTTTAAGTTCCTGGAAAAAGTATTTTTTTTTATTTAGAAAGACAACAAACTTCAAGACTCCTTCATCATATTTAGCAGGCCTCTACAGTCATCTGGCTAAATACAAAACTATGACGCACCCATTTAGATGCATAACAATGTAGAATTAGTCTGACCACAGTGTGTAAAACATGCCCTTGGTGTAACAATGGAGAGGTAATTAAATCAATAATTACAATTCCTTGTATGCACAGAGAACATAAAACAGAAGAGTTTGACCATTAGGCAGCTCATCTTTCATGGCACCTCTTTCTCCTCCCCACTCCGTAAAGACAAGGTCACCCCGGGAAGGTGAAGGAAACGTACACCACACGCTGACAAAGCACACCTTCAGTCTGTGGTAAGCAGCAGTAGTAAGCTGTTGCAGCAGCCATTAAAGTTAGTTGTAAATGTTCTATAGGAAGAAATGGCAACTTGCAGACAAGATATTTGGCAGGGAAACATTTCTGTCCCCCTCTGTTTATTGTATTTACATAATTGTGGCTACAATGCCTCAAAAGAATGTTTTAGCAATTCACATTGCTGCTTCTTCACTAGAATGCAATTAAAATAGGTTTAAATCCCTTAAAACAGGGACAAATGTCAGCTAAATGCTATTACCCTAACAAGTTATGTAATTCATGGTGATATCAACCGCATAGTAGCTACCACACCACCACCACCTCAGTTATAACCTCGACTTTCAACAGGACAGTTTCAGGTGACACTAATTGATCGAACCGTGACCTTAATAGGACACTTTAATTTATCTATTCGGATCAGTGATTGATGGGTCAAATTATGATGATGCTTCAGCAAACAGCCATACTTTCTTAAAAGTCTGAGGTTTAATGAAATCCTTCAGGTTCTTCACCTTCTGTTGGATTTAAAACTGCTACATCCATCACAGAGCCTGCAGGATATTTTATTTGTTTAAGATTCATAGAGCTTAAAAAAGAACCTGCAGGTTACTCTTTAATGAAAGAAAATACTCACTTGGTTTTAAGCAGGAAAAAAAGCTAATTGATGCATGTCTATTTGTTTATTGTTTAATTGTAGGGTTCATTACTCCACCAATATAAAAATGTAAAAGTCAGCAGAGAATACAAATTAATAACTGGTTGATTTAGATGAACAAAGCCCAGTAGGCATTCAGACTACATTGAAGCTTCTGAAATAGGGCTGCAATTCTGGTTACGTTACATTTCACATGACTATCAGACAAATCTTTTCTTACTTCAGCCCTTTAATTAGCGGTAATATGTTTAAAGTGGACTTTTTTCCATGGAAACGATAAACAATAAACTTCCTGCCAGCGTGCAGATTTATAAATGCAAGTAGAAGTGAGCACTTTTCCAAAAAAAAGGCTATAGTAAATTCCTGGAACAAGGGACTCTTGACTGGCGAGCATTCAAGGGAAGGAAAAAGCCAAAACCCCGGAGTTAAACATCTAAATGCTTGAGGTTAGTGCAAAGGACAATAGCAATATAAGCGCAACTGCAATATTGGTTGAAAACATTAGCAATTTTGAGTTTTGGATAAATTGTTTGTCCCACTAACAAGAAAAGACCTTTATTTCTGTAGTTTATTTCTCCAGTAGTATAATATTTAAATCTTTGTTATACTGAAGTGTACGTTAAGAAAGAACCGGACCCCTTTGGGGCATTTTGTGTCAACCTTTAACGTGCCTTTAAGGATGACAGTTCAACACTTTGTTTGTTTAAAAATTCAAAATGTTATAAACCTATTTTAAATCACATGGAGCCAAAAAGGCAGATTTAAATTAAGCTTAGAATGATCTGAAATCTTAAAAAAAAAAAAAAATCACAAATCAATCCAGGTTATTTATACACCGTAGCACCACATTAACAACTCGTGTCGTCTCGGGTGTCTTTCCACGGTTAGTTTAGTTGTATCGTATAGATTTCAAATGAATAACTTATTCAGATTAGTCGTTTATCAAGAGGCAGGGAGTTTACAGTTGAGAAACATCTGCATGGTATCAGAAATAAAAAAAAAAAAAAGTAAATTTTTTTCTTCAGAAATTCTGGGCTAGTCTCTCACAAAAGAAGGATAAACATCTTATGAGACGTGTTTTCTCTTTTGCTGAAGAGTTAAACATTTAAAACGTTCTTCTTCACAGATTATTCTGCCTTGTGTGTACCTGTACGTTTTCTACTCTGTGTCATGTAGTTGTCATTGTCATACCTGAATTTCTCCATTGTGACATAACAAAGGTATAATTCATCTTTTCTACTTTTGCCATAAAGGATTGGATCGTATCACACAATAAATCCAGTAAAGCTGCTTCATCTGCAGCAACAGAATAAACTAAAAAGAAACACAGATAAGAGGCTAACTGAGATATGGCCAGCAATCTTGGCCATCATCTGGTGATTTTTGTTCAATTTAGATGAGAACATGGAAGTTTGGAAATGGGTCAGGGGAGTGGCGTCTAACTGGCCCTCTGATGGCACAGCTCCAACCCAGAGGAGGACAGGATTAAAAACAGTTGCTGTTATGGCACTAAACTCAAGATAACATGGCGCCGCTGCAGAGTTCTGCTGAGCTGGCCGAATCTGACCAGGAAGTCGCTGTAGCAGCACTCAGGCCTCATGAAAAACACAGGAAGTAGGGATGAGTTAAAGCGGCATCAAATGTTAATATAAACGCTAGCATGATTCACACAGGATCCTTCAAAGGCCCATCAGTGCCTCCAAGGGTTTTATTTTACAAGACATTCTCAGCTGAACCTCATCAGACTTTACTAAACACTAAACAGGAATTAGGTTCACAATTCTACCTTTTTGTCATGTATTGCAATTACATATAATATGATGAATTAGCACCTTTCACTTCCCAAATTCACTACAACCACAACAGATAAATTTCAAAATTTAAGAATGTTTTTATACCTTTTGCTTTTATGATCATAGCCAACATTTTTACCTCATGATCACATTTTAATCAGTACTCTTTCAACACATCCGGATAAGGAAATAGGGTTAAAATGCAGAAGCATGAACAATAGAGAAGGATCTTACAGCATCTTGCATTTTATATATAGATATAGTCCTTTTCTTGTAGAGTTTGGTTTCCAGATAAAAAATAACAATTTGATATACCTTGGAAATCAGAACTTGGATCTAGGGATGAAATTTAGCAGCATCATTAACCAACTGGAAATGCTTGTATCTGCAATCAAGCAATCGATATTACATTAGCAAAAGCTTACGGCATTAAGTTTGCAACTGATTTAACAAAATATAAAGCACCTGAAGTCAGCTTATTTCCTTTAGCTTTAGAAATTTATTAGTTGAATTATTTGACTTAAAGCATATACATTCAAACTCATGCAAACCATCTTCATATTGATTTGAAAATATTTTTTGCATTACATGATAAAAAATGAGGAACAAAACACACACACAAAGATTATTATGCAGATGAAATAAGGGGAATGCCATCTGAGGGGAGTGAGGTCACAATAAGGCCTGTGTGGTTTACAGAGTTTCCTGCTGCGTGTGGTAAGCACCCACAATGCAAAAGAGAATAACTATCAATTTTGCTTAAGCTATTTTTTTCTCAGAGATGTATTTAAATACAGATATTTCAGACTCCTTTGAATGATTTTAAGATAAAATTTGATAAATTTTGAAAGACTTTCTGGAAGAGAAAAAAACTCCAGCAAACCTGGAGTCAGTAAATTCTACAAAGATTGTCGGATCTGCTCTGCATTACCAAGACATGTCGGCCTCATTTCCAACTCTCTAAACAATCACAGCAAAAATCAGCTAACTAAAATACCGTGCACACAACAGATGTGGAAATCTGACTTTTACATCAGTGTTGCAAAGTTTTGCAAATAAGGGCGTGGGCTGCTGTTTTTTCTTTAATCAAAAAAAGAAAAAATTTGAAGTTTGAAATTGCAAAAAAAAAAAAATCTTTCAGCAATCGGGTTACAAAACAATAAGCTTGCCTGCTTTAGAGTGAAGCTTCTAGGTGTAACCTGCTAAGACTCAGGGATGCAGCAGCGTGGGTAGATATAAAAGAAAAAATTATTTTAATTTTAGCAACTTAGAATATAGTGACTGTATTTTTAAGATGTAATCAGTGAGTTGGTGCAGCTCATCTGAGCAACATCAGAGAAACCGGATCTTATCACCCAGTCCCCAAATCAAACAAAGCTTACAATTGGTCTCTATTCTTGGCTCTGAATCCTCTTCTTTTTTTTTTTTTTTTTTTTTTTAACAGCTTCAATATGAAGTGATCTACATCAGAGGACATTTTATTAAAAATTCCTCGACTAGTCTGTGAGTTTTTCATATAACCAAAGTTGGGTTTTCCACACCTGCCTTGACAACCAAAACTTTATAAGAAAAGTGGGTCTTATGGCTCTAATAAATAAAATTCATCACCTTAACATCAGTGTTTGATCAGGGGTCATATTCTTATCCCCATATAAAAACAAATAGAAATATTCAGGTATTAAATTATATATTAGACTAATTGTATAGTAGACAAATAATCAAAACAAACTCAGATAAAAATAAACTGAACATTTTTTATCTTTTTCAGGATGTGAAATGTAGGCCTACATGGTAGTGAAGATCTGGGCAATATAATGGTATAGTATGGAGGTATAATTTAGCAAAAGGTGTAAATTAACCAAAAGCCCATGTTTATAAGACCAGAACCAAACAAGAGGAGTCCCTGTTTAGTTGCTCCTCAGCACCATAACATCCCTTCATCCATAAGTTGTCTTTACTTTCTTATTCTTGCACGTTAGCAGACGGGCTGGTCTCTTTCTTCTACCGATTATTGGACAACAGACAAGGGACGTCCTGGACAGGTCAAAGTCCATCTTAGAGAGACACAGAGGACAATCAATGCACTCATACTGAGGGGGAGTTTAGGAAGACTTGTCATGTTTTCTGGACTATTGAAGAAAGCCAGAGCATCCAGAGACAGGAAGAAAACCCAGGCGTACACAAGGACAATACCTGCTACACCTGAGGCTGGTGTTACACCATATTCTGTGACCCATCATAAAGTGTGATTCAAGGCCATGCTGTTGCAGATTCTCCATACCGCTCTGCTATTAACTAACCCTAAGGACATAGGGGTCATACCTAAACCTAAGATCACAAAACTAAAACCTAAACCAGGATAAATCTATAGTAAGATGCATGTAGCGACCCTGGGTCAAAGAATAAGGTGAATAACTGGGATTTGAACCCAGCACCCTCTTTCCAAACCTGGAAAAAGTCAAATGCAGCTAATTTTATCAGCTTATTATCTTTCTTAATTGGCTTAATTGGTTTTTCAATGTTTTTTTTATTTTATTTTGTACTGTGCTTAAATTAAAATGAAGTTTTCAACTTTATTAATCTATACCTCCTGTATGTATCCAGGATGTAACCTGCGTTTTTTTTGCACATATTGAGCAAAAAAGGTGCGATTACATACTGTAATTCACTATGTTAGTCCATCTTTGAGTAAAATTATTAAAAACACCGCATGAAAAATCAGTAAACTCTTATTCCCAACCTTTTAAAGGTAGCAATTTATTACAAAATCCATTTTTTTAGAATTGTTATTGCTCCGGCTACTTTTTTTCTTTATATTGTACTCTGCTTAAACTCAAAATGAATCTTTCGACATAATTAATCTATACCTCCTTTATGTATCCAGGATGCAACCTGCTTTGTTTTGCACATCATAGGCAAAAAGGTGTTTATACATACTATAATTTACTATTTTAGTCCATCTTTGAGTAAAATAATTAAAAATACCTCATGAAAAGTTAGTAAACTCTTATTCCCAACCTTTTAAAGGCAGCCATTTGTTTAAAAAAAACAAATGCGTTTTTAAAATGATTATTGCTCCAGCCACTTTTTTTTTTTTTTTTTTTTTTGTACTCTGCTTAAATTCAAATTTAGCTTTTAACATAATTAATCTATAACTTCCTTATGTATCCAGGATGCAACCTGTGTTGTTTTGCACATCACGAGCAGAAAGGTGTGAATACATAACATAATTCACTCTTTTAGTCCATCTTTAGGTAAAATAATTGAAAACACCTAATGAAAAGTCAGGAAACTCTTATTTCCAACCTTTTAAAGGCAGCAATTCATTACAAAAATCCGTTTTTTAGGATTAGTATTGCTCCAGACACTCAGACCTAATGTTTTTCTTTGTAAACTTACCTGTCCAAAACAAAGTAGAGGTCATAAGCTCCGTGACAGGAGGCTTCCTCTGCCCAGCCAGGCGCTGCAAACAAGCCCAGAAGGGCCAGAGCCAGAGCTGCAGCCCACAGCCTCCTTTCTTGAACAACCTTCTCCTCCACAGTGGGACACGCAGAAAACTTTCTCAACATTTTTCCACAGTTCTCCTTCACAGAAAACCGGAATAGTCGGTCGCATCCAGCGCAGGGTTAAACAAAGAGCAGCTGTTACTTCTTGAGACTCCCCCCCCAACAATAAAGTTCAGCGATTGAGCTGCAAAATAAAGGAAACTACCGCGGCGACGTCAGCGCCTGTAGTTTCTACATCTTCCTGACTCACTCCTAACTCATTGACATCCTCGATCAAACTAAAACCCGCAACTGAACAGGTCCCAAAACCGCAAAACAAATCTTAACAAATCTTGCCTAAGAACAAGTTTATCTGCGCTCAAGTTCAGAGTGAGGAGAGAAGTTAGGGTGCATTCACGTTCAACTGAAAAAACCTGTAATAATACCCTTCGTCGACTGTTAGTGGGAAACAGCTTCAGTTACAATATGAATCATTTATGGCTTTTGCTTTCTTTAACATAATAAAGAACATTTCTCACATTCAATTTAATTTCCGGTTTATAATTTTAAAAAATTCGAGTAAATTAACTCTTAAATCCAGCTATCTCTTTTGGAAAAAATAAAAATATTGACATCTACTCTTGTATTACACTTGATACCAGAGTATTTATATAAATCGATAGGCTTGAAGGTTGAGTGGAAGCAAAAGGTAACCCAGAAATAGATGCAAATACTCACTTGTTGATAGTCAAACACAGCTCTTTTAAGAGTTTGGTGATTTGCAGGACTAAACATGTAGATCAAGTCATCATCACAAAAACATATACCATGTCCTGTATGCAGGCCATGTGTTGCTGTTTTAGGATTGATTGTAAAGAACTACTCCATAACCTAAGACAATGTCTAAAACCCATCGGATCAAGAAAAGAAAGCCTAGTCTGCTTCTCAGTGGTCCAGAGTCCTAGCCTGACGTAGTCCGACTCAATTCTAGTCAGAATTGAGTCAAACTTTGTGGGCGGGACTAAGTTCGGAACGGCACCCAGGCTACCAGAGTCCTACAATAAACCTCAATTTTTTTCCTCCAATATATTTTATTGAATTTTCTCTTTTTATACAACAAAACTTACAGATAACAAATTTAACCTTTTAACATGTACATATACACACTTAAATTCACTCATGCATTCACCACTTAAACCTGAATTTGTCTAGTTCCAAAAACATACAAAGCCCTTCAGATTAAGGCAGACTTACAGTAAAAAAGAAGAAAAAAAGGGGGGCAATATATATATAAAAACTGTGGTCAAGACATCCATTCAAAACTACCATCAATAAGCTCCACTTTCAGTCCCTATGATGCTCATATATATGGCTCCCATAGATTCTCAAAGTCCTGTTGTTTGCTCTTGGCAATGCATGTTAGTTTTCCAGTCCAAGTGACCCTCTTTCCTCCAGAGTCCCATGGAGGGGGGCCTCCAGGCTCCTCCAGCATAGTAGAAATAGATCTTCTAGCTTGAAGAAATCTATAGTCTATCAATGTAGTTTTCTTCCGCGATTGTTTAAATTCTATTGGATATATTCCTAGAACACAGATTTTAACCTCTAATGGGACTTTTACTTTAAGCAGTTCAGATAGACGCCTAATAACATCCTTTCAAAACTTCTGGACTTTAGGACATTCTCACAAACAATGGAGAAGAGTTCCTTTTTCAGATAAACATTTAGTGCAATATAAACTACTAATTTAATTGGAAATAAGGCACAGAATCAAAGTCGTTTCAAGTCTTATTGTTAAGTTTCCACAATCGCTGATGATTTCTAGAATATATCAACTTTGATAAAACTTTTTGAGTTTATCTAAAATATTAAATTAGCCGAACATAAGTAATATAAAACAGTCACTCTGGTCTTATACATTCTTACAAATCTCAGTCTGCTCTTAAAATGAGTCATTTCCTAAACACACCTAAATCAGGAAGTACTTTATGACTATAGATCACCTGCTTAGCTTAACGCCCTCTGCAACTGTACATTTATGAAATATCCACAGGTTCTTAAATATTTCACAGTGTTTAGGTATTTGAAGGGGAAATCCGAATGCTTTTTTTTTATTTTTTTTCACAAATTCACTTTGATTTACAGATTTCCGAAAGCACACAAAGGCCTCATGAGCTGGTGCGCATGCCCCAGTGGAGCTGTTATGCAGCTCCCAGTGAAGAGTGCGTGCTCAGCGACATCTGGATGAACTTAACAGTCAGGCAAATTTGAAATGAAATACAGCAATAATGATATAAATATTTATTATTTCCTTTCATTTCCAAAATGTAAAGTTCACATATTGCCTGTTAGTTCTTGAAAACTGCTTACATAACTGTAAATTATTTTGGTTAAATGTAAGTATCTAGAAAAAACAAGCAGTTAAAAAGTTTTATCAGAGGCTAAATTTGCACATAAAAAAACAAAAAAAAGTTGAAAAAAAGACTTAATTTGTTTTGTACCTAAAAGCACATGTTATTAGTTAGTAATTGGCTTAAAAACAACAGAGCCTCCAATTGAGCAGCAGAGATCAACATGCAATGGGGGATTTTGTTTTTTTCCATTTCCTATTTCTAAAGCCTTCTCATGCTAAAATTCAACTCACAAAAGACATGGGAACCTGTATTTACAGTTTTTCTCACCATGTCGTCACAAGGTTTGCTGTGTAAATGGGCTTACACAGACCCTATGACACCATTTATTGCAAATGGTGTGAACACGTGGCAGATAGGAACTGTTTAGACATACAGAGGAAGCAGTTGCTGCAGCAAAAAGGACAGCTTTTGTAATAGAGACAGGAAGAGAATCCAGATGTGAAGCCTGTCATGTTTGAAGTGGAAACGATGGTGTAGGAAGATGTATCGAGTTTGCACATGCGTTATCTACAGTATTTGTATATATTTGTGTGTCTTCCTTTTTTTTTTTTTTTTGATAAATAGTGAATATCTTCCAACACATTCCAACTTTAGATGGTGCTAACAACAACAGCTACCACAACAAAACAGAAGAAATAAGTTATGACTAAAAACTTTTCCAGTCATGCAAAAGTTTTGTGGACTTTACAGTGAATAATTGTTGAATGAAAACTCACATTTTAGGTTTTTACACAGCAACTGATCAGTTATGGAATAATTAACATCAAGAGACTTTATTAGCGTTAAAATATTATTTTAAAACTATTGCCTGGCTTGCTAATTTACTCTATAGTTTTACCCCATCCTGGGTCACTAATGAAAGTGGCCAGAGAAGGTTCCTAAAGGAACGCATGTGATCTGTTTTCTCAGCTGCCAAAAGACATGAAGCATTTCCAGGTTTCTGAGTAATAAATTGTAAAGTATAAAAGACATCAGCTACATTTACTCTATCAATGGTCTTGTTTTAGCGAAACGTATAAAGAAAAGCATGCAGCCAATCAACTTTTTGCTTTAGAAAGGTCTCAGGTGTAGAAAACCCTCGCTAAAAATACACAAAAAAAAAATAATGCAACCATTCTCGGTATCTACTTAATCATATTTAGTTACTTTAACACATTGTTTTAATGTTAGCATGGCAGGAAATAAAACTATTATGTTAAAGGAGCTAAATATGATTAAGTAGATACCAAAAACGGTTGCATTATTTTTTTTTAGTGCATTACAACTAAGAACATTTGTCTGTGTCAGGTTTGACTGTAGGAAAACACATTCTAGGATGTCAAAAGTCTGCAACACTGAGAAGAATTGTGCGTTAAAATAGTGGCACATAAAACAATTCATTGAAAAAGGTATAGAAATAAATAAAATACAAGAATGGGGATTTTTGTTGAAACTTTTTTTCCTTTATTGGCGATTATTATAACTATTGTAAGGTAAAAAAAAAAAGATATGTGTAACCTGAGAAGATTAATTCTAAATGTATGATTTTAAACTCAAATGTTCAGACATTTCTGCTGCTATAGCTCCAAACCATTCACGACCTTAAAGACATGCAGAGCTGCTGAGCAAAACTTATTTGTTTTAGTCAGAACTTTTTTACTACTTTTAAATAGATTATGATTCCCTTCCCTTTTTAGGTGGATTATCCCTGATTCCTTCCAAGTTTTAAAAATCTTGACAATGTTGATTTTAATTAATTTAATTAAATTACTGAAATGAATCTACTTTGGATGATACTTTGATTTGTTGAGCTCTGCGAATCCATTTTTTTAAATGTTCTGCACACATTACAAAGCTGCAGGTGCCTCCATTATCATTCTGGTTGCTTTAAATCCCTAAACCTGGACGATAATCTGCAGTGGGAACCAAGCCCTTCAGTGCGGCACTAGAACCATAGAGCTGCAAGCAGAAAAAAAAAGCTATGCTCCACCCATGGAGCTCGCTACATAGCTCCATCTAATCAAATGCAATGGGAGGAACATGTGGCAAAGTAGCATTCCAAAAGCATAAAACTACAGACAGATAATGCAAATGTTTTCACAGTTGTATCTATTGACTTGAGATGAGTAATTTAATTTCATCACTCCTGTCACCTCAGTAAACACGCCCACAGGTTTAAAAGGATATATTTCGTTAGGTGGTGCTTTCCAGAGCATACAGGAAATTCCAGGTTTCCTTGTCTAATCAGTCATACTACTTGTTTGAACAGAGCATGTGTTGCTAGCAGAAGACGTGACTCCAGGCTGTAAAATTTAGGAAGAACCCTTACATGATATCTGACACTGCATTTTACCTGGATTACCTGCATTTCTCCTGTTTGCAATGAAATAAAGTAAAAAAAATAAGTGATATTTGCAGAATTTTTTTCTGTTTCACACAACATGCTACATGTGTCATTGTTGGCCTCAAAGTTAAAGCCAGTGTGCCAATGTTTTTCTTTACTGAAACAATCATAATTGTTTAAGAGAAAAATCTTTGTTTGAGCAGCTGAGACTAGTTTTATTATGCTCAAACAGTTCAGTGTCAGCAGACATATAAATAAACAAAGCAAAAAAACAAACTCTGATATTTTCACACACACAATCTTTAAATTTAATCACCATGAAAACACAACCTTTGGACATTGGGAATTATGTTCCAAGCAAAAGTGTAAGTACTTGGAATCAATTCATAGGTAGGAATCAGAAACAGTATCAATTATCAGCTATTTGAGGCGTCCTACTTTCCCAAAGTGCTGCAAAATCTTCTGAGAAATCATTAAAATAATTTATCTACACCTCAAAGTAATTTAAACCTTGAATGTTGACATGGTAGCACCTACATCCATCATTGATCAATTTATCAAAATGATTAAGGCTACACCAAAGCATTTGAAACCTTTGGAATGCTTTTAACATTTGCTTGCCTATCCCAGTATACTAAAATAAGGATGACAAGACCAATATAAGAGCAGCGTATTCGAGTAGAAAATAAACATTTTATAAGCCCTAATCCAAAAACAAAATGATTTTAAAAGCTCATGGTTTTTGTGAAGTTTTCCAGATGGGCAGTGGCACAACTAAACCCTGAAACAATGTGTTTCAACTGCCACATGTTTGGTTTGGTCTAAAAATCTCTGTGTAAAAGCAAACAGGAGCAACTTACAAGGGAACGCCGTTTTCTTTTTACATTGGGCCCTTGATTTTACGTTATTACATCATGTTCTACTTAATCATATGAGTTTTGTGTCATTTGGAGCTGTTCTGAAGATATTCCGTTTTGTTAGATCCAAGTAACATCTTCCTATGGGCAATGAGTTGAAGGCACAAACTAAACTGTTCGTTATGTATTCTTTATGGTAAGCCAGCATTCATAACATGTAGGCAAATCACTGTCCCCAAGACATCCACAGTTATATTTTTTATATTTATATATTTTTTAAACAAAGCAGCACATGTATGACGTCATCCGCGCGCTGGACTGTAGTCGTAACAGGCCGCCCGGGCCACAGGCGTCTGGGTTCTACCCCTTCTATTCATTCGGCTAGCTAATCTGAATCGTTCAATTCCATTTCGAGAGCGAGATCATCTGTGGTAGTAGCACTAGACATCTTCCAGGCATGTGAGTAAAACTAGCAGCAGTTCAGCAGACAGGAAGAAGGAACGGTAGCCAGCAAGGGCGTAGGTTTGATTTGAACTTTGGTAGGGACACTATTGGTCTGGTGTCATTGGTGCTATGCAAATATGCATGCCCTTTTTTATGCTCGATGTGAGCATCCGTACTGATAAGAGGAATTCATTGTTAAAAGAGAAAAGCAACATTTTGCTCCATTAATAAAAATGTTATAAGCTCTACACTCATTAGATGCTGTTTATCAATGTTTGAAGTATCACCGGCTCTGATGAATGTGGAATTAGGACTGTTTTCCACTTTGAAAACGGTTTCCTTTGAATGACTAAGAGAGAAGGTAAATACAGTATTTTCTTTTGAAGATATAGAATTGTGCAGAGTTAAACCCCACTCTAATATTTGTACCTACTATTCTCTCTCTGTATCAAGCAAAATAATACATTCATTAAGATATTAACTTCACTATAAAAGTTGAACATCTGGGCTGTAGTTACTCTGTGTCGCCAATTTCATGTATTTCATCTGGGGCTGAAAAAAATGAATCATATTAATTGATTATTTCAATAATCGTCAACTAATTTAGTAAGTGATTCCTAATTAACTGGAGTATAGAGACTTTAAAACACACAGTAATATAAATGTAAAATGTGCCTTTCCCCACAGAGCAACCCACTTAGATCAGTTATTATATCAAAATTGTAAAAATAAAAACAAAAAAATGAAAACAGTAATATCAACTTAATATCGGTAAAAAGCAAACCCTCACATTTTCTTTTTTAGTTGGCTGTGGCTAAGAATCAGAAATTTTGATGGCTTACAGCCTTTATTTGCCCATTTTTCCAGCAGTCTTCAGAACTCCTGGCTGACTCAGAATATTTCGTTTTATAAAAGAAAAAAAAAGGTTTTTGTTTTTTAGTGTACATGATATTAATTTTTTTTTTATCGGGACTAGTTTTGTAGCCTAATATTAATTGTAGTAACCGCTGCATTCTAGTGTGAATAAATTTTCAATGTTGCGCTCCAAGCACACGCGGACTAGAAAACAGCCAATCAGAGAGAGAGAAGGCGGAACTTAAGGCATAACAACCAATGAGAGTTGAGTTAAACAGCGCAGCACAGTTCCATGCGCTGCTACATGAAAGGGACAGGAGAGACCAGGCAGAGGAGCTGCGAGAGGAAAAGAAGCCACTGCTGCAAAAACTGCTGTAAATTATTGTTGCTCACATCCAATTATTGGTCGGGACAATTAGGTTGGTTCAAAATTTTGGTAGGGACATGTCCCTATGGTCCCTATGCAAACCTACGCCCATGGTAGCCAGTCTGTGCGGATGACGTTATACACACTCTGCTTTGCTTTGAAAAAATATAAATATAGAAAATATAACCGCGGATGTCTGGGAGACAGTGATTCATTCCTACATGTTATGAATGCTGGCGTACCATAAAGAACAAGTTCTGAACAGTTTAGTTTGTGCCTTCAACTCGTTGCCCATAGGAAGACTAGGAAGTTGTTACTTGGATTATAAAACTGAATATCTTCGAAACAGCTCCAAATGACACAAAACTAATATGGGTGAGTAGAACATGATGTAATAACGTAAAATCAAGGGCCCAAATGTAAAAAAAAACGGTGTTCCCCTTTAAGTCCTGTAAATTGTTCTGATAAAACCACAGAAAATATGAAAACAGAAGTTATTTAGATTACATCATCTTAGTATAGGCAGTTTGAAGTTTGGTACTTGGTATTTGGTAGAAGTTCAAAGAGTTTATTTAGAGGTTGTAAGGGGTCTCTAGCAGTGTCACAGTCCTAAAACAGATCCAGGAAATATGGTATCAATAGTCAATTGACTCTCAGTTCCCATCACTTTCCTCTGCAGAATCTCTTCTTTTGTATGTCAGTTGTTGGTTCTATGAGACTCACTTTGTTGGAGGTAAAACATGATTGGGTGGGTTAACAAACAAACAAAATCGTTTCTCTAGTGTCCTGCACTTCTTAGATGTGCCTCTGCTTCCACACCTGAATCAAGTGGCTGAATTACTTCCTCAGTATGCACTTAATTTCTCCAGAGTCCTGCTAATGTACTGGTTATCTGATTCAGGTGTGTAAAAGTAGAGATATATCTAAAACCTTCAGTACACATGAATTCAAAAGCCAAAATCTAGGAACCCTGCTCTAAAATCTAAGGGAACTTAAATGACTATAAAACAGTCAAAGTCCCAATAAAAACTTTCAAAGACTAACAGAAAGCAATAAGAGCATTTTTATAAGACTGCTTTAAAAGGACTACAAGTTAACCCTTCTGGATTTTCAACCCCAGTCACTGAGGGCTATTTCTCTGCAGGTCTTAGATGCAACCCTGCTCCGACACTCCTGGATTAAAGGAATTGCACTACAGTGTATACTAGACCCTGGCAAACCCTGATAGCATGTTGAAGAGGGATTAGGATAAATAAATTACCTCTTCAACACATACGTGCTTCAACACATGCATCTAACGTGTTCAGGGCAGTAGATCAAGACTGGATTTGGAGACCCCCAAAAAGATAGACTTTTCTGCTAGATAACATCATTATTAGTGAGAGTTTCATACAGTATGCAATGTGTTATAGGCTAAATGGGCTCAAAAGTTTCCTCACTTGCATTTTCAGAGAGAAATGCAACTTAAATGTCCATTTAAACATAAATATTTGTCTGTGTGTTATTGCACCCCAGTAGGTTCATAATTGTCCCAGAAATCTAAATGAAAATGCACATTGTTGAAATAGACTTATACTCAATTCGATTTATTCTGATTTCATTAGGTGTAAGAGGCAATTATTCCCAGGAATGCGTCTCCCCAAACAAACTCAATTCCTTTTATTTTGATTTGTCTCAGCATAAAAAGAAACTGAACTGTCACACAACTCTACATCAGCCAGGTAATTACCATAACACAGCTCATCAAATCTGAACAGTGCAGGGAACAGCAACACACGAGTATAATTATCAGGCAAATCAAAGTCTAATTAGGTTTTAATTAGAATGTTAATTCCTTTGCACGCCGTTTGGTTTCAGCATAGGCTCTCTTCCTTTGTGTATCCTGAGCAGGGATCCCTGAAACAAAGAAAATCCAGACAAAAAGACAACAAGCATGTATTTCCCATTATTTGGAGAAAATGTGAAAATCCAGTGACTTGAGAAAATATTTGTTGTGCATCGATTTGTCATGGGGCTCTTAAAGCTCAAGTAGGAATCAGAAGTGACAGTTAAAACTACGTTTAATTTCTGCAAGCGGTGAAGTGTGGAAGTTAATCAGGAGATGAAACTGTGACAGACAGCAAAAAGTACAAGAACAGACAAACATTCTTTAAAGTTAAGATGGAAGTCTGAGGAGATTTCCCCTACAAACAGTAAGGGAGTGAAGAAAGAGAGAGGGAGAGATTCATGTTAAGACCTTGGACAGTGTTGCATTAATTAAAATGCCTTTTTCTACATAGAGAATTGGAATAAGACCTTTGAGGTGACCAAAAGAAGGGGTAGTAGTCCCAGTATTAAAAAAGACTGACTGAGATATTGCTTCAACTATCCAGGGATTACATATTTTTACTTTTTTTTTTATAAAAAGGAAAATTCCCCCTCAGATTCTGTTAGTGTTGAACGGTGGACCAGATTTTTATCCAAGGAGAGTCTGGTTGTTCTCATGTTTGTTTTTGTTTTATTTTAGGAGAAGTACTGAGTTTTTTTTATTTTTTTTTATGAAAGTTCTGTTGGGATATAAGCAGGGGTGGATCTAGAAAATTATCTATGGGGTGGCAAGAGGGGGGCAGGGATTTTTTAGGGGTGGCAACATATGGCATTTGTTTACACTGAATTTAATCACAGTTATCACAGTTTGGTGAGAATAGTATGTACAGTACTAGTGTTTCATGTGAAACAGTTCATATTAATAATACATCGTACAATGTGATCTCACTTAATAGGAGATAGAAGAACGATAACACTACTTCCAGAGGGGCCTTATGACAGGAAAGGTATTAAGGTGAGACACAGGTGCTGAGTCACAGATGTGTGAGATTGACTGTCAGAGAGGCAGCTTTGCAGCATTTGCACAAGAAGAAACTACAGAAAGAAAAAGTTCCCCATTAGAGATCTATGGACTGAGCTGTACTAAAGTGAGCAGAACTACACAGTGGAAATAAACGGGTCAAGGCACCCGAACAAGGTACTAGACATCTATGTAATGTTTACTCTGAACACACATTTACCCCATTTGTTCCTCAGTAACTTGAAATACAGCAGTTAAGGCAATATGAAAGGGACATTTCATGCATGTAGATCTGCTGTAGATAGAGCTGTATATGGAGGACCAACTCTGCCATATTTAAAAATAAATACATAAATAAATAAATGCTCAATAAATAAATAAGCATACAATTAATTGCCACCAAAAATACAACCAACAAATCAATGTAATTAGAAATTATATTATAATGGCAGGTAGAAATGTTAAAAGGGCAGGCAGAAAGAAATAGCGGCGAAGAAATAACTAGGGTAAAAAATACAAAGGAAGAATAAAACAGACAAAAATATGATAACATGCACATAAATAAATACTTAAAAATATAAGTAATTAAAAAATGAAGTTGAAGATAATAAATGACAAAAAAATAAATAAGGTAAATATTAAAAAGGCAAAGAAATAAAGAAGCCAATTAAAAGAGTTATATACCTTTATGACTAGCTGTATAATATAATTTCTACTTACATTTATTTGTTGTTTGTATTTTTGGTGGCAATTAATTGTATGCTTATTTATTTATTGAGCGTTTATTTATTTCTGTATTTATTTTTAAATATGGCAGAGTTGGTCCTCCATACTGCTGTATCAACAAATCAACAAAAAGGCGGGTTCTGTATGTTACATCAAAATCTCCACAAATCTGAAAAGCAGCAACATAAAAATACATTTTGCTTGTGAGTAGGTTCATACAGGTCATTTCTGGATAATTTCATATTATATATACAAAAAAGAAACAACAACACTGCTTCATATTAAGCAGGATTTACACCAGTATCACATTTTTAACTTTTAACACTTTTGGTTTTATTAAAGGAAATATCAGATTTTCTCAGGTGCCAAAAGAAAATGTAGCAGCTCTGTAAAGGCTCACCAGAGAGCATAACATAAAGTTAACATGACTATAACAGCTGAATGCGGCGATTTCCATGTTGCTCAGCAAAACGCTTCACTAATGTATCTAGATCCAATGCCTTTGTGCATTTTGATTTGAGTACAACCAAACTTGATCGTCTCTTTTCTGTCATAGTTGACCGCAAATATGTCTTTATGAGCCTGAGACGTCAGGCCTAACTAACATCATAGTTAGAGAAATAACGTTCTGCAACCTGATTTTTATCATCTCAAAATCAGCATTGCAGCTATGCTAGCAACATTGTGCTTTCATTATGGTTTAATTTCTCGATAGATAGTTAATCATTTTCTACCTGTTTCATCCTGTCTCTCCTCTCCCCATCACCCCTGGCTCCCTCGCTTTGCCCCATTCGGTTTTCAAAACAATCAGTCTCAGTCACTCTCGCGTCATCTCGTGCTGCATTCACTGCAGTCCGACATTAGAAATTAGCGGTCGTAATTCTCAAATGATCCATAATTTATAAGCCTCGCCACCCCTGCCGCCAACTGGGGTGGCAGCTGGGGTGGCAAGGCTGTCATTTAGGGTGGCATTTGCCACCCTATGCCACCCCAGTAGATCCGCCTATGGATATAAGGCTTTGCTGATCCTTTTAAGCTTGATCTGATTCTTGTTCAACCAGAAGAATTGCTCTGTCTATACTGGAAGATTCACTGCTGAGTGTGGAGAAGCTGGGTGTGAGAGTCAGGTTCTCAATATCTGAGGTTATGTTGGTAAACTTATCAAGAGGTCAGATGTTTCCTCCTAAAGTTGAGGAGTTTAAAAATCTTGGGGTCTAGTTCAAAAGTGATGATATAGATGGATTAGGACGTAGAACATATTTGTTTATTCAGTTTAGAATTTTACTTAAAAATTAAACAAAACCTCTGACTTAGCAAGTCACGGAGAAAATGGAACTAATACACAATTTCCGAGAGTTCCAATTAGACGTATTGCTTCAATGATCCAATCACAGATGAGTGCAAAATGTGTGGAGGGATGTTGCAATGCATGTAAGTTAAAGGCATCTGAGCCTTTGTTTGGGTCTTTGACATGTTTAACTTGCCTTTCAAAAAGTCTTCAAAGTCCATTATTCTATCCAGTCATCAATCTCTCTGTCTATCCATCGGTTTGCCCATCCATTTGCCCATCCAGATTATTGTCATACTGTTGGTACTGATGACTGGTCTCATCACTCATTTCACACACCTGCTTAGCTCCACCCAGTTCTCATTACTCGCTCATCTGATCCACCTGCATTGGTCACTATCTAACCAGCCTTAAGACCAGTCATTATTATTTTCGAGCCATTGGTGAGAATTATTCCAGCCTTCTTAGTTCTGACTTCCTGATCCTGAGCTGTCTGCCTCTCAACTTCCGAGCCTGACTGCTCCCGTCGGATTGTGATTGCCTGACTTGTCTTCCGGCTTCCGCCTGACCTGACTACTTGCCTGATCTCTGCCCGTTGTGTATCAACTGAATTCATTTCCTGAGTACTAACCCTGCCTGTCTGCTGCTCTGTCAATCAAACCTGGATCTGTGACCCGATTCCATCCCGATTCCATCCTGGATCTGATCTCCAGGAGATCCGATTCCATCCTGGATCTGATCTCCTGGCTCTGACCAACGACCATGTCCCCGACCTCGTCTTTGGCTTCGCTATATGGCTCATTCTGCTCACGTTCGTCTTCACGGTTCTGACAACCTGCCTGTCCTCCAATCTCCAGTACCTCTCTATCTGGGACTCCCTGAGCTGCACAGGGTTGGCAGCATGGCAGCTGGGATCTACCTCTACTCCTGGACCAGAAGTGGACATTAAGACTAGGTTAGTGACCCACATGTTTGTGTGCAAGCACTTCCAGCTAAATGCCTGCTCTAATATCTGCTCTTAATTAACTTTTAAGCCTAAACTGTTTATCTGCCTCGAATAATGGGTCTACCTGTTCTGACCCTAACAATTATACCTTTCCACAGCGACTAACTCCATCTTATTAAGGGGTGATCCTTAGGTCTGGATCGGTTTTGGGCCAATGGTCCTTCATCCCTTTTGTTGTGTTCAGTAACTTCATGGCCAGTGAAAACAATGAAGAAGCATGTTTACATTTACCCTTTATATGACATGATGCTACGATCAACTTTAGAGCAGGCACAGTCACAGTCAGACAAACTTAAGTCGTTTCAGAGATTTATTTTCTGAAAAACACAGATAGTTTGGTTGCCCTAGAAATGGACGCACCAGGGAGGCTCAGAGGGACTCACTTTCTCTTTCTCTGATGGGCGGACGGGCAGATGAGCTCTTTGGATGGATCCAGGAGGCAGTGAGGAAGATGGACTTGGAACCAGCGCGACTGGAACAAAAGAAGGACAAGGAAGGTAAGTTCACACCAAAAATATCTGAACAGGAGGAACTAGCGGGTAAGTTACCACAGTGTGAAAGTTAAACAACTGGCGTCCATCCTAGGAAATCCACTCCTCTAACTACTGCCTCCTGATTGCAGCAAAGTGGCATCAGCTGGGAGCTCATCCTGCCAAACACAAGAGAAAGGTAAGTCACATGCACCCAACACAGACCCAACATTATAGGGCAAGTTACAGTCTTTGATCACTTGCATACCCCCCCCCCCCCCCCCCCCCCCCCCCACCCCCACCCCCGTCACTCAGTGAGGTCTAGAAGCTATATGCAGCCATTCAGCAAAGATACTGCTACATGGCTGTATACCTTATTTTGGCATTTGACCAATTAGACGAGCACTGTAAATTAAGTTGAAAAAAAAGTTAAGTTAAAAAAAAGGTAAAAAGCTAATTGAAAAGTTTAAAAGTACATTTGAAAAGTTAATAAGCCTATTTAACAATTATATTTAGGTATATAAACTGAAAAATGTGAAGCCCTTTTGTTATTTTTCTAAATATATTTTGGCAAGTTGGTGTTTCTTGTAATTACACTGACATTAATTTTTGCCATCAAAATGTCAATTTTTTTATGTTACAAAGATAATAAGGTCTTGTCCTGGATTCCAATAACACTATTGACTCAAAATTTAGATTTCCAAAGTGTTTCACTGAGGGCCCTATAAAGGGTTAAATAAATATTGTTATGGTTTTTCTTTTCCAAAGTAACAAAAATTGTTGGTTCTAATAAAAAAAAACTTTGATTCTTCCTTGTTGGAATAGAGATTAGCCAACATTAAGTGCCACAGAATGTATACCTTCTTTCTCAGATTTTTAGCATTTTGATTGTTCCTTGGTTTAGGTTTGCATTTTTTATAGCATATCAGTAAGTAAACTGAGCATTTTTCTTATACCTAGGTCATTGGGGTTCACAAAACTGCAGTTTATGATTCTTTATTAGGTGCTGCATTTATGGTTCTACCTTGGCCCTATTGTTGCTTTACCTTTCTTATACCTCATCAAATAGTTAGTTGTCCTGAGCTATATTCTGTATCTGTGCTGCTATATGTTTAGTCGGCTGGTTCACATGGGAGCCGCTTTTCCTCATTCTGCTTTATTCTATCTCTATTCTGCCATTCTGCAGTATTTGTCAAGTTCCACTTATAACTTTATGCCCTCCCTGCTTTTTCCTCATCGTAGTAGCTTCACTTGGTCTGTGCCTGTTCATCTGTGACTCCATCTTGAATTGAAATATCAGCTGTGCTACTGCCGTAGAAATCTTTAATAATTGGCTTGGAGCTCGTCTGCCTGGTTGTGTCTAGCCACTTGTGGGGCTAGCTAACGGATACCATTTGTATCTCAGCTTCTTTCTTTAAATCTGCTTCTGTCTTCTTGAACACAGTCGGCCTTGGCAGATGGCAGCTCACACTTAGCCTGGTTCTGCTGAAGGTTTCTTTCTGCTAAAATGGAGTTTTACTCTCCACTGTTGGTACATGTATTCTTATTCTGAGAGAACACTGGAGAGGCAATGACAAAATGCAAGTAAAAGTCGTCACTGCAAGCTCATCCAGGAGGAGCATAGCTTGCGAGTTAATGACTGAATGCAATCAATTGATTTTCCTAACCAATCTGACAGTACAGTATTTTCTCTGTAAAGTACCTTAAATGACATGTGCTGTGAATTGGCCCTATATAAATAAAATGAATGAATTAATTGAAGAGTAGAAAACTCACTATCAATAACTGAAGAGGAGTCAAATTGTCAAATCACCTCAAAAAAACAACAAAACAAGTATTAGTCACAATAACAAAGATCCATTGAGTCCTAATAGCATCTATAACTCATAATTATCTTAATAAGAGTTATTTTAGTTTGTTTTTCCTCCTCTGAGAAAGCACTGTTTTTCACTAATGGCATCTTAAGTTGAAATTGAGTGCCTTGCCCAGAAGTAAACAGCATCTATCAATCACGACTTGAGGCCAAGTGTCAAAAGACACCAAAGCCAACTGTGTGTGTATGTGTGTTTATGTGATAATGATGCAAGAGACCGTTTTGAATTGGCTTTTAAACAAGCCATTTTTCATTCCACTGCAATGAGCAAACTCAGCTGCTCCACATCACCTTCATCTGGAACAGGGTGAATGTTCACAGGTTGGGAAGATGCTTATGACGTAAGATAATTAACTCAGAACCAGGGAGATGAGGCCTGTCTTTGCAATATGTGCCACATCTTCAAAGTCATATTGGTCATCAAGCTCAAAATTCAAATAAGCTTAAAAACACCATCCCCAGTTATTCCATTCCAACTTTATTTGCAAAGGTCTGGGAGTGCTAACAGCTACTGAACATATTAAAAATCAATACACAGCAACTGAATAAAAGATAATAACCAGCATTAAAAGAAACAACTTGTGTATTAAAAGTCTGCCAATGTAGTTGGTTTATAGGAGAGACTGAATATCGGTGCAAGTGGTTAAACAGACAAAAAATATTTGATATATATATATATATATATATATATATATATATATATATATATATATATATATATATATATATATATATATATATGTGTGTGTGCAGAATATGTATATATTATGTTTTACAGCATTAGTGGTTCATTCAGATGAAATATTGTTATTTAATCATTTTTGTATACTTATCAATTCAAATCACTTTGAATAGAAAACCGATACATTCCAATTCATTTCCTGGGAATATGGCCCATTTCCAGTGTTGGGAAAGTTCTCTTTCTACGTGAACTAGTTCAAAGTTCAGTTCACACATTTTAAAATGAACTAGTTCAGTTCATAGTTCACAATTCCAAAAAACGAACTAGTTAATAGTTCTTTTTTTTCTTTTTTTTTTCATATATTGCTCAATTACACCATAGCCTACTGTAGAACCACAGACAGCAATTATTTTATCAGTTGTATCACTGAAACTGTGCGTCAGATTTCATCTTCATATCCAGTTTTGAATCCTTATCCAACCAGGGTTTACATTAGCATTGAGGGGACAGCATTTCCCCATTGTTGCTTTAACGCTTTGTTGCTGTCCATTCACTTCACACTAGTAGCAGCTGCAGCTTTCACCCCTACAGTATATTCTCAAAAACAGCAGGAAAAATGTGCTGCTTGAATGGTCTTTTTATGAGTAATTATTAAAAGAAAAATAGGAAAGTAGTCTTTAAGGTGCAAATGTTTTTTTTTTTTTATTTTAATAATTTTTTCCATTTGAAATTCCATTTCAATACATACTAAAAAGGAATCCTGGAAAATTATACCAGGCAGGTTTAACAAACAAGTTACATGGATAGTAAAACCCTCAAGAACAGGGGTCTTCTTTTCCAGACCAAGGACCCCCAAACTGATGGCGAGATGGAGCGGGGACCCCCTATTTATATATATTGTATGAAATTGTGTCCTGTAGTCACTCTATTACAGATGGAGTAATGTAAAGAAATTAATTTCTCCCTGGGATTATTAAGGTTTTTCTGATTCTGATTCCTGGTTGATGGGACAGGTGTTGTGAAGGAAACGGTGCCCAGCTTGAAAGAGCTCCTGTGTGTCGCTGAATGTGAGCATTGATGACTGAAAGACATCTTCTGCCTCCATTTATCTGTTTACTACAGTGTGTTGATTTCATGTTAATGAGTATTTAAAGACATTTCAATTAGTGGGGGGAAAAAATGCAGGGGGGGAATATAAAAATATCAACTAACCATGCAGACCCTCATGCAGTACCTCCGTAGACCCCCTAGGGGTCGCGGATCCCCTGTTGAAGACCTCCGCTCAAGAAGATTTTACTAACACAAACTGAGGGACCAGGCTGAGGTAGGAATTTAAGGTTACTGAAGTGCGGATTTTTTTACTGAAAGCCGGCGGGCAAACTTGTTGCCATCATCCTCACCGACCACCTGGTCATAAACCTGTTTTAAGTCGCCTCCATGCTGCATTTTGTTTTGATGACGCACGCGGCTGTAGGCTACGACGCTGGTAGCTGCTGTTGCCAGATTGGGTGTTTTTCCCGCTACATATTAAGGCCTGTTTACGGTGTGATTTAGCCGGGGTTTCGCCTGGAGGGCTTTATAGAAATCTGGCAACCTATTGAACGGAGTTGAACTGAGAGAGCGTGCCGTTCACAGACGCCAGAATGAACGAGTTCACAAAAACGTTCATCAGGCAATAATGCAGTACGTTCAGTTCACGTTCGCCCAAAATATGAACGAGTTCATGAACTTTCGTTCAATGAACGCGTTCAGGCACAACACTGCCCATTTCTATCACTTGCACTCATTTTGGGCCCTAGCACACGGTTTTGCACATTTACGTGTATGGGTAGTGTATTCAAATAATTTTCAAGATCTAGGGGTAAGGGCCCTTAAACCCTTAAAATTATTCGTTCAGACCAAGGGTGGTCAACAGCTGGCTTGGAACAAAGTGGCTTCCCAGAACATATTCAGAAAAAAGAAAAAGGGCATCCGCTTGTGGAAAAGAAATGCACCAATGTAAGTATATTTTTACAATTAGCCACATGTTTAAAAAAACAATGTGCATGACGTAGCTGGACATGTCAATAAAGTATACAGGCTACGTATTACCACCATCTACAGGGCTGTTTTGCAGCTAGTGGTGTCCCAATTCCTAAGGAGAAAATCTTCACTTGCAATTCCTTTATTAAGTGGACTTCCTGTGGAGGGAACTCACTGTAGTGTTTTCAGAGCCAAATGAGACAAATGGGACTGGGCCTTTAAGTATTTAAGTAATGAGGCTTGTAGCTTTTAGCTACAAGAGCAATGGAATAAAGTAACTGTTGGTTGATCTTCATAAGTCAGGGAAGGGCTCAAGTATAATGGCTGCTCACATCACGACCATATCTACAGTTCGACTCACCCTGCAATAACATAACCCTGTCCCACCAAGAGACCCTAAGGGGCAGGGCCAAGTGTTGAGATGAGCAATGTTGGTTAAGCGGGGGATGATTGGATGTGTTGATTTGAAACTATATAACTAAACTGAATTGAATTTTATGAAATGTCATTTATAATGTGTAAACAACTCAATAAGTCAGAGAAGACTAGTTATGCCTGAATTCAGTTGCTTAACAAATTACTGTAGTGAAACCCATGATAAATGGGTGAAACCCCCCAAAAAGATTTTAGGAATGTTAAGACACCTTTCGAAGATAACAGAGTAATCTGGAGGGTAAAAATAAAGAGTTTGTGGAAGATTAAAAATGCCACACAGACAGTTTCAAACATAATCTATCTCTCCACAACAGGCCTAAAATCCAACACACATCTTCTGTCTGCTCCTCAGAGGCAGACGCTTGCATTTAGAGAAGGAGAGGCAGCGAGGCATCGTCCAGATAATGAAATGAATCCACGTTTGATCCTCTCGTCATCGCCCGGTAATTGTTCTTGATTCCTCCTTTGTGTTTCACGCTTGACTCCTCGCTCATTCCAGGCTGCATGTATAAAGACGTGCTCGCTTGGCTTATCGGTGCCAGCAGAGTTCAGTGATTAACAAATTAAGGATCTTTCTCCGCCTTAATCTGTCTCAAGGCTTTTTTCCTTCAGCCAGCCCTTGCAGAAACATGTTTGACGATGACAGCACCTCTGCTCCTCATGTTTAATTGGATTAGAGGGAAGTCTGGATTAATCCAGTCTCAGAAGAAGCGTCAGGGAGGGCTGGATGAGAGACGAACAGGTTTGAGGATTTTTCAGAATCATGTTATCAACTTCTTTTAACTGCACTGTTGAGATGGTTAGGCTTTCTTTGGCGTAGAGTATCATGGGAGAAAGTGGGAGTCTGAGTGAGGACAGATGTGTTAATCTAGGGAAACATTAGGCTCATGCGATTAACATCAAAGTCAGAGCTTTTCCTGATGTTCTGCTATGGAGATGGAGCAGTACAAGGCCAGGTCACATTACCTAATGTAGCTAGCCTAACAATGTCATCCATAGACTAAGGTATGCACAGTTAACTTAAAGGATTTTAAGATTCAACATTTAAATCATTTATTATTTTTATATATATTCATATAAATTCCTGTTTTTCTCCCCTTGTTCAAGTGTAAAGGAACATCTGCCAATCACTTAAGCACAGCTCATGTACATGTTGATTCCTTTACAGACAAACATCTTGTCTAAGATGACTCAGAACACAGAGAATCTTTTCTGTTTGTTGGATTTAAATTTGCAAACACTGAATTCAAAATATTTATCATAGCTGAGCCTGACAAGATTTTTTTTCTTGTGTGGAGTTATAAAAACATCCCGCAGTGGAGAAGACCTAAGTGTTGCTTCCAAAGTCCATAAATGTAAAAATAACAGCAAAAAAAAAAAAAACACATTGCAGTTTAGGTTGCCTCTCTGTTAAGTCTTTAAAGAGCATCATTATTGTTACTCCAATCCATTTCATTGCTTTGGTGAACACCAAGGTATTAATAAGGGTCAGTAATGTTGGTGTCAGTGCAGTGGGTCTGTCTGTGCATACATCCACCACTAGCTCTTGAGTTTTCCCCCATGTTGACCATCATGGTTCCCCTTGCACCAGTCAAAATTCCTGATTCCTGTTTGTACATCAACTTGTCCTCACTTGTGAAAAAGAGAAAAAAAAAACATTGAACTATTGTCATCATCTAAGCTTCAACTTGTATGTCAGGTCCAGTTATTTAAGGAAATCTTCCCTCTGATTTCCACCTCCATTTTAGATGTGATTAATCTATCACTGTTACAGCGATGTGTACTTCAGGCTTATAAGGTT